TACACGTGTGTCATAGGAAAAATTGTCAAACCTATCAATGTCCTGTTCGCTTCAAGAATATCTAAAAACCGCATCTGTATATACTTATCAAGCAAAAATCTAGCTGACGACTTCACCGACAAGCATAAGACCATCACAATCGGCGAGCACGCAGTACCTGTCAGACCACTAGTAAGTAAATTCAAGAGAGTAATCTTCTCAAATGTCTCTCCGAGTATACCAAACTACATATTTGAAGACATTCTCGACCAACTATTAGTAAACAGAGGGTCCCCTGTTATACCTCTGAAAGCTTCAATCACACAAGAAGGATATGAACACGTAGGTAGTTGGCGCAAACAAGTATATGTCAAACCGGAAGATATCGAGAAAATTCCCACTCTCTTCAAAATCAATTATGATGAAGTTAGCTACTTTATTTACTCGAGCACAGACACTATCAAATGTTTTGCTTGCAACATAGAAGGCTACCTAGCAAAGGACTGTACTAACGTAGAAAAAGCAAACATCGGACACATGGAGATAGACGAAACAGCTGACTCGCAAAGCCAGAACGATTCCACGATACCACAAGCACCGGATAATACTACTCTCGCGCAGAAAAGATTACATTCTGAAATCAGCTCGAACGAATCACAGATTAGTCCTACTCAAACTACCAACACAAGCATTAGTCCTAATGAAAATAAAATCAAACAAGTGCGCAAACTAAGTAAATTAGACGCCGATACATCAAAAGAAGCAACAGTAGGCACTGTAATGACTAACAAACAAGACGAAAGCGATGAAAATGTCAAAATGTCCCAACAAAATAACGAATTCGAAGATGATCTAGACGTTAAACTTCGCAGCATCAGAGGTTACTTGAACACAGATGGAACACTTCTAAACTATAATCAATTTAAAAGTCTTCTCGAAAACACTTGTAAAGTCAAACAACCCATCGACATTATCAAACAATACAGCCCTGATCTAGAAAAGTTTAAACAATTTATTGAAGAAGAAATTAAACCAAACGTACGTAACTCTAGCATCAAAAATCGCTGCACGAGACTAGTAAAATGCATCGAACTACCAAACACAAATCTTACACCAGACCCAACACCAAACAACTCAGATGTAGAATAAACTTACTAAAAATGGCTAGAATCATGCAATGGAATATAAATAGCTTAGCACAACAATTCGAATACCTGCAGTCCCTAATTTCCCAGGAAAAGGCTGATATCGTATGCTTACAAGAAACAAATTTAAAAGGTAACGAAAAAGCTAAAGTTAAAAACTTCTATTGTTATAACAAAAATAGACAAGATTGTTTAATAGCCAGTGGCGGAGTATGCATTTTAATTAATGAAAAGTTATACAGCCAAGAAATAGTTCTAAATACAGAAATTGAAGCAGTCGCCGCACAAACGGTTATTAACAATAAACTTATCACGATCTGTAATGTGTACCTGAGCGATAAATACAATATCAACAAGGAAATGCTACAAAACATAATCAACCAACTCCCTCCACCTTTTATACTTCTCGGTGATTTTAACAGCCATAACTCCTTATGGGGCTCAAACAAAATTGACAATAGAGGGATAATCATAGGAGAACTTCTTGAAAATAACAATATCGAACTACTTAACAATGGTGCTCCGACGTACTGCAGCCCGGCTACCGGCAACTTAAGTTCGATAGACCTAACTATCTGCAGCAATGACCTGGCCCTACTACTCAACTGGGAAGCCCTCGACTATTTATACGGAAGCGATCATTTTCCTCTCGTGACGACTATATTCAACACAGAAATAAACGAAGCAAATATCAAAATCAAGCGCTGGAAGTATTATAAAGCTGACTGGAGAAAATACGAAGAAAGCATCAATTCCAAAATCAATGAGCTCGAACTATTAATTAGCATATTCGCCGACAGCAACAATAACGACATAAATAGCATCATTGAAAAATTCAAAGAGATAATCATTTACGCAGCCAATGAAAGCATACCTATTAGCTTTCAGAAAACTCCTAAACACAACACTCCATGGTGGAATGAAAACTGTGAAACTGCTGTTAAAAATGCTAAACGAGCTTTTAACACTTGGAAACGGAAAGGAACACTAGAAAACCAAATTGAACACAAACGATTAAAAACAATAGCAAAAAGAACTATAAAAACCAGTAAAAAAGAATCTTGGCTGGAATTTTTAAGATCTATGAATTATCAGAAGCCTATAAACCAAATCTGGAACAAAATCAAATCGATCGAAGGTAAAAACTCTCATCAAACAATAATTTTAAAAGAAAACAACACTGTAATAAATGATCCTTACACAATATCCAATAAACTAGCAAAATCATTTGCAAATAACGCAAGTGATGAAAATCTCACAGTAGAAATTCTGCTATACAAAAAATCTCAAACCCCTTTAGAAATTCCGCAAGACGACACCAGTAGCAACACAATAAACCGGCAAATCTCTATGAATGAACTAACATCGGCACTTAATAACAGCAAAAATACGAGCCCAGGGCCAGATTCCATTCCTAACATATTTCTCAAACAACTCTCATCTAAAGGCATTAAATGTCTACTAGATATTTACAATTTAATATGGTCGAGGAATCTTTTTCCCAACGAATGGCAACAAGCTACTGTTATACCAATACTTCAGCCCAACAAAAGTAAATATGACAAAAATAGTTACAGACCAATAGCACTAACATGTTGTATGTGCAAAATCCTAGAAAAAATCATTAATAAAAGACTTAAACAGGTTCTTGAATCCAATCACATGTTGAACAATTGCCAAAGCGGATTCAGAGAGAAATGTAGCACAACTGACTGTCTAGTCACACTTGAGTCAAACATAGGAGAAGCCTTTGCAGTTAAACAACATCTACTTGCTGTCTGTCTGGACATGAACAAAGCCTACGACTTACTATGGCGCCGAAGAATTCTACAAATATTAATTGAACTCAAAATCACAGGACACATCCTGCATTTCATCAAAAATTTTTTATCCAAAAGAACTATAAGAGTGCGCATATTTAATATACTATCAGAAGCGATATCAATCGAAAATGGTGTCCCACAAGGGTCAGTGATTAGCGTAACATTATTTCTTATAGCATTAAACGATATCTTCCAACTCATACAAGCTCCGATTAAATGTACAGCCTTCGCCGATGATATTACCTTACTTTTACAAGGGAAAAACATTAATACCAGTATCAAGCTCATGCAGAACGTACTAAATAAATTAGTTGAATTCACCAATACGACCGGATTCCAATTTTCGTCTACAAAGTGCCAAGCCATATTATTTCAGAATTACAGCAATAACAATCAAGACACTCAACTGACCATCGGCAAAGAAACCATCCAAGTAGTCGACCAAGTTAAAATTCTGGGCATCATCTTTGATAAACGACTAACGTGGAAAGCGCACATCACTGAACTAAAAAATCAATGTATACGTCGACTGAATACATTAAAGTGTTTATCCGCAAAAAATTGGGGTGCTAGTCAACAAGTACTAACTAACACATACAAAGCTCTAATCCAATCAAAATTAGACTACGGTTGCGTAGCATACGATTCAGCCAGTGAAAGCACACTGAGCAAACTAAATGTCATACTACATGAAAGCATGCGAATAGCCACCGGAGCTTATAGAACCAGCCCAATAATCAGTATTCTCAGTGAAAGTAACATGATACCCCTAGCTTTAAGACGGAAAAAGTTAATTCTGAACTACGCTATAAAACTCTTGCATTCACCTCATAATCAAGCGCACTGTCTCCTAGCAAAAAATCTCAGCATTTATGATCCAAACAAACCACAACAAAGAAAACCTTTTTATCAGAGAGCCAAAAAATATCTCAGCAATTACAACATAAGTTACAATGACTTTCTTACCTACGAATCTACTACAACTAACAAAACATCTAAACCAAGAGCAGATGAGGAAACTATAAAACACAGTGAAAATAACGTCTGTAAAGAAACCAATTCCTCTTCCAACCCGCTCCATATATACACAAGGATCAGTTTGTCGGCCAACAGCATTGGAGCCGCCGCTATCCTTCCTTCACAAGAAAAAGTACTTTTGAAGCTACCAAAGTATTATGGACTGCAATCTTCGCAAGAAATATTAATCCTACACATTTTATGTAACACTACCTTTACTGGAAGAACAACGATTTACACATACTGCGAAGACTTAATCATCCAACTGCAACAGGATCAACCGCAAAACACGATTATCCAACACATACAGAATAAATTAACTTCCCTCCAAGGGATAGTTGAAATAAATCTAGCTGATCCTAAAGGCAATAAGATCACACATGATACAGCTTTAATGGCCTGTCAACTAAACTATCCCATAGAATGCAAAATAAATCAAAGCATAGGTATCAAAATGGTGAAAAATGAGATAAATAAAGAAATGAACAACCAATGGATAGAAGAAACGAATCACTGCTCACTACGAAAAATCAAAAAACATGTATTTCAGTCCAACCCGGCCACCAAGTTCAACAGAAGAAATCAAATCCTTATCACAACTCAGAATTGGACACACCCCTCTAACGCACCAGCATTTTCTGAACAAAGAAGATCCACCAATGTGCGATAAATGCTTTACTCGACTTAATATTGAACACTTACTCCTACACTGCCCAGAATACCATAATGATAGACAAAAATATAAGTTATCTAGTGACATAGATACCCTACTCAATAATGTAAACCAATGTCAAAATGTAATTAAATTCTTAAAAAGAACAAAAATAACGAACATTATATAATTTAACCATGCAATAATATATATCTTTGTATACTTAAATGTTAACTATATAAGATCCTGTAACGGTTTTACCTATGTATCACTGTCGCTAATACCCACTCCGGGGGATGCGACAATAAATAAATAAATTAAAGAGTATAATGGATTCTACGAATTTTATAGGTTAGGTTATACGACATCCTCGTGTATTGATATCAGTAACATTAAGTCAGAGCGAGGATCTAGGGCATGAAAGTGAGGTTAGTTGATTCAAGGTATTGAGTTAGATACCGCTTGATAAGACGTGTCGTTTCTCGTGCGAAAAGTCAAATGTGTAATCGAAATGAGCTTATGCTAATTATACTGAGACTGCTTTTATAATTTGAATTATAACAACGCCACGTGGACGCTCAAGTAATAGTAAAAGCGATTGGTTTGCAGACGTCGGCGGGGTCGTCGTGGCGGAAAACCACATCTGGACCGAAACCTCAGTGAAGATGAGATGACAACGCAGACAGAACCGCTTTTGGAGCAGTGTAGACACTCCTCCAACAAGAAAATGTTATCTCGGGACTGGAGGCAGGCACTTCGTACTCCACATGTCTACAGGGTGGGCAATAGCACCTTTAGGGTGCAAAGCCACTTTGCTGTTTTCATTTTCTTCCTATTCTTCATTGTATTTTTGTACTATGGCTATCCTTTACTAATAAGCATTGTCTGTCCAAACCCACCTTCAAATACTCTACCACCATGTCAGTACTACTTTTACAACAAAACGTATCCTCTTACTGCACCAGTCAAACAGTTTACTGGAGTATCTTATTCCATAGCTATGGTTAGTGATTTAGATACTAACTCTAAAACTGTGGATCAAGTAAATACATGGTACAGTTATTTGAAGAAAGGAAAACTTATTTGGATGCCATCAAGAAATTTTATATCAGTATCTTGGGAGGATGCAGCAGTGATACTTTCCTCAAACTTAGCTATGAAAGGTAGAGGGATGGAGCTTTCTGAACTTATTACTTTTGATGGCAGATTGTTAACTGTTGAAGACAGGACAGGGATGGTTTATTTTTTTGAGGGAGATAAAGTTTATCCATGGATCATATTGATGGATGGCAATGGCAAAAGCTCTAAAGGTGTCTATTGTTTATACTGTCGTATGCTTTATAGCATAATAGTATGAAATTATAATTTTCATTTATTGTTACCTAGGTTTCAAATCTGAATGGGCAACAGTTAAAGATGAACAATTATACATAGGAAGTATGGGTAAGGAGTGGACTACATCCGGTGGAGAGTTTGTACACAATAACCCAATGTGGGTTAAAGTGATTTCACCTCATGGAGAAGTTCATTCCAAAAACTGGATTTCTAATTATAAACGTTTGAGAGAGGCCTTAAATATTGAATTTCCTGGTACTTCCAAATATCACAATTAAATTTCCTACACAGAATTAATATTAATTTGTTTTAATCTTCAGGATATATGATACATGAATCTGGAGCTTGGAGTGCTATTCATCATAAATGGTTTTTTCTACCACGAAGGTGTTCAAAAGAACAATACAATGAAACCACAGATGAAATGATGAGCTGTAATGTTATGTTGACTGCTGATGAATCATTTGTAAATATTCAGGTACTTACTATCCACAACGATTTGTTTACATAATGTGATTTACATTTTACATATTTTTTAAATAATATAAATGTTGTTTAGGTTACTAGTATTGGTACTCTTGTACCTGTAAGAGGATTTTCAAGTTTTAAATTTTTACCAGGCTCAGATGATACAATAATCGTTGCCTTGAAGACTGAAGAGTATCAAGGGGCTACTGCTACCTACATTACAGCATTTAACATCGATGGCCGAATTATTATGCCAGATCTTAAAGTATCTGATAACAAGTTTGAAGGCCTTGAGTTTGTATAATGTTTCTCTATGAAATGTATCTAGGTTTTAGTAATTTTGTATAATGTGTAAATAATTGTACAAAACTTATTTTTACAATTCACTTGTTCAAATGTTTACTTTTGTAAATCTGTAATGAAACTTGTTCTATTGCCTATTAATAGTGCAACATTTTATATAATAATTTTTAAATTATTCATGAAGAGTAGTTGTTTAAATTATTTAATTTAAAATTAGGCAATAAAACAATTTTTCATAAAGTAGAATACTTTTTGCTGGTATGGAGATTCAATGCCTGGAATTTAGTTGTTTACCATACATATGTAAAGCAGAGTGCTTTAAATATTAACTGAATTACGAAGTAATTAGCCAAACTGATGATTCTGTTGAACAGAAATAATAGAGATAGACAAGTGCGTAGGATTCTTAATAAACGTATATTTTTCTTAACAGTTTTTTTTAAGCGAGATGTTTTACAACTTTCTCAAGCAATTGTTTTAATAGCAATGATGGTTATAATTGTAATATATAAAATTTGAATGAATAATCATGACATTGCACTTTATAGAAAATAATACGTACACATTTGTCACAGTTACATTTGTCGATGTGACGCACGTTATATTTTCAACAATTTGGACATGAATTAATAGTCAGAATAGTGTAGAGATAGTCAGATTTCATAATGTGATGTTCGAAAACATTCAAGATATAACGTAACTCCGTAACACTCCGTGGTTGTGGCGAAATTTTTCATTTCCCATGACATTTAACCAAACAGCAGTTACATTACTTATTGTTATTTGTTATATGCGATAATGAATGAATAATTTTAATGCGGCTAACTTTGCGTCAAACATTAAACTATTTTGTTTGAATATCCTTGATTTATTTATTTAGAATTCTTCTAACGAGAGCCAAACAGGTTTTCTGAACATATATTACAGAGAATATTTGAATTACTAGTTGTCAAGTTTAAAATTATCAGTCTAAGCAGCATGGAAAATACCAATAAAGAAAATTTATAAATTATATTAACAAACATTATATTGATCAAGCTTCTTCTGATGTTGCTCGGTAATGCTGCTTTGATATTTTGTTTTTACTTCAAGTTAAAATGTTTTGCTCTAGTATGTAACTTGTTCACGTATCAACATGCCAGTCGAATACTGACCACGTTTTTGCAGTGCAGAACGGAGTATGTGTCGTTAGATTTTTGAAATAAAAATCTTATTAAAAACAAACTTTACATCAGAATAAAATAATTACCTTACTAAAATTTTTAGAAATTCCTCGTTCCTCGTGATTCGATAAGATTCAAAATATATTGGATATTTTACGACGAGACATTCTAAATTAATGTTAATTTTACGAAAAAAAATAAAGTAAATTGAAACCTGTAAAATTTGATTTTCAAACAAGTCAATCATTGAATATCAAAAGTTAATTAGAAAACGCCATCAACAGCTTGATTATTCAACCGACAGATTTGCACTTTCATTTGACTTTTGGATCACCGAACGAAAAAACATGCTAAGAAAGCGAATCATGAGAAAGAAGGCAAGAAAAAAGCTTTGCTATCGTCAGCGAAATAGTCGAAGTGTGCCCGCGGTCAGCTCTTTTTTATGTGGAAAGTGTACGCACACGCGCGCACACACACATATCGCTGATAATATAGCCGACGCTTCCGCGGCTCTGCCGGCAGTGGCGCCTGAGCGACCGCGTGTGTCGCATCGTCGCACGCGACTTTCGTGCAAATAAAAGCTCTCAGGGTCAGGGCTGGTGTATTTCCAGGCTTGCACGCCGAAGAAAATCAATAGAGATTCCAAGTAGTGAGAGAGAGAAGCATAACGTACACACACGCGCTCTCACCTTTAAGGGTTAGTCGACCTCGTGCCGCACACCACCACCACCAATGGCCCTGCTCTGAATTTGAGCTCTTCTGTGACGCGTACTATAATCAACAAAAGGGTTTGTTTTCAAAACTCAGCGTGTTTTACGGCGAGCTTTTTTCTGGGGCCAGTGTGTTGTTCCCTGCGACAAGTGGTTTTCACGTAGTCACAAATTTTCAAAATTTTCCTTTTGTGCCGCAAAGAACACGAAGTGACGCTTTTTTCTTTTTTTCTTTTTTTCTTTTTTTCTTTTTTTCTTTTTCGTGCCTCAATTTGGTCGATATTGTAGGATTACGATATTCAAGCTCCCTTATATGCGCCAGCATACGTGTCAGATACGTTACGTAAAGATTTCACTGAGCTTGTAGTATTCGTTTGCTTCTATCTTTTTTCTCCCTTTTCAAGTATCGTTATCTATGAGTGAATCTTTGCAGTTGTGGTCCATTGTCGAGCTTCCGAATAGCACTGCATATAGCCTCGCATTTAATTCATGAGAACGATAGACTATAGACTGTAGTGGAGATAGTCTTTCTAAAACAGAATCCCCTGTGATATACGTTTTGTATGTTTGATTACAGTGAAATAATTTAGTTTTTCATCTAACTCTCCTCGTTAATGTTGTAGCGACAGTATTTTCTAAATGGAATAGAACACTTAGAAATAGTCTTGCATACATTAGCGACCGGCATTCTATTGAAGGACGCTCTTGATAATGATCGCACGCGGTTAAGATAGATCCCGCTTGGCAGAGTACAAATACGATTTCACGAAGCTACGAGAAATAAAACTTTGATCTCTTGTCGCCCTTCGTACGAAAAGAACATTCCGCGCTGCTGGCATCTTTCTGAAGAATACAGCTTCATCTCTGACGTTTATCTTGCTTTTTTCATCACTGCGTCATGAGAAACGAAAACTTGCCGAATCAAAAAGAACGCGACGTGTAATCTCGGCGCAAACAAACAAACAAAGGAAAGAAGAGAGTGCACAGCAGCAGCGCGAGCAGACTTGCGCAACTCGGCGGAGGCAAGGAAAGAAAAGTAGCAGAAGCCGCCCGCGCTGCCGCGCGACTCACGCGCACGTGCAACGAAGACAGTCGGAGGATGATAGCCGGCGGCAACTATACGACGGCCCACGCGGTGGCGACTCTGCGACTGCTCACTCAACTCGCAGCCGAACCACCCGAAATGTACACTCATAGTTAGTCCAGCTTTGCTTTTATCACCTGTGAGTTTCATTAATACAGAACACGTAAAATCAAATCCTGACTTTCAATCGTATTTTGTGTATTATCATGATTATTTGTCAAGCTACAATTTAAAAAAAATAAAAATTAGCACATAGAAGTCACGTATTTGTCACATGTTAATGCTGCTATGTAATAATCACCGTTTATCAAAAAGCTGAATGAAAAGCGTTACGATGATCATCTTTTCACGAATGGTTTATGTGACGGGTTTTCCATTAAACTTATGGCTTCTTGACTGAACTCCCATATAATGTTTTTTTTCATATAAGTTAATTTCCGATAGTAGATAACGTGCGTCTTTCTCAAATAAAATGAGATGAGATTAGATATAGGAGGCAATTTAAACGTGAATTACAGGTAAGATAAGTTAGCCTAAAATCACTTCTGTCTCACTCTCTGCTTCGACCGTAAGTGGCCAGTTAGCAAGTTTAACAACATTATTTCGGCTAGAAGTTTGCACTCGGAGTCAGGGAAAGCTTGACTCGACATGAAATGAACGAAAATTCGCTGAGAAAAAGCAGTAATATGTGAATTGTGATGAATTATGAGTTCCGAATCTCGGCGCTTGTTCGATTTACCGAGACAATAAGACGCAGCTTTATCAGAGAGTTTGACGGTCGTACTCGCGCGGCATTTTGACTGGAAAGCGAGTGAGAAAATAACGAGATGAACCAATTTTGCACCATTGTTCCAGAATAAAAGCAGATCGAGCGAATGGCGTCGTCAAAATCGGAGGCCGATTGGTCTCTAGCTCGAAAAGGCATTTCGCTCTTGCTCAACAATCAGACGGAAGAAGCCGAATCGCTGTTTACTCAATACCCAAAGAGCTTTCATATGAAGGCTGGCAGAAGCTTTGTGTTCTTCATGGTAAATATACTTATTGTATATGAATATTGTTCGGATGCACTACGAAAAATACCCGTTGAAAGTCGATTGTGACGCCGTGTGTGTTCCGGTAAAAGAATAAATTTCATATTAAAGAAAGAAAGCGCAATATTGAATCCCGCGTTATTTGCTTTCTGTGTGTCGATAAAAATCATATCGGATATCTCGAATAAAAATTCCATTCACGTGACGGCGTGACAAAAACTTCTTGTCAAGTATAAACACACAGGGAGCTTTGCCACCGAGCGAAATACAACTCTCGAGGAAATTCAGCAGGAAAAAAACGAGAGAGTGGGGCCAATTAGCGCGCACACGCGGCTGAATAGACCATTTGCTTTGTCTTTTTGCTTTCAACGCCAAGACACACAAAAGAAGTCTTTTATTATTGTTGCCGCATGGCGCACGTGTGTGTATACAGAACGCGCTCATGACGTTCGAGGACGACAAGCTCCAGCAGGCGGTGCAACTTCTGCGCGACATGGAGAGAGAATGTGCCGGGGACATTGGCTGGCTTAGATCCATGAAGACCAGGGTTTTTGGTGAGGACACTTCTGATGTGAGTTATCAACACGAACATTTTTATCAAGAATCCAAACGAAAACTTATTCGAGATGACAGTTGGATTGCTTTCATTGCAAATCATTCGAGACATTGAATAATTTAGCAATAACGGGCTCTTTCGAGCAGACTTACTCTTGAAAGCTTCATTCACGCTAGTTCAATCGTCAGCTTTGTCTTTGCAAAATTTATACTTCTGGCACAACTGAACAAATGATTTCGTTGATCCATGTTATTTGAACAAGCTCAGCCGGTATTCGGGCAGAATACTGTAAAAACGAGCACGCAATTGGAAAAGGAATGCTAGAATATCGATATGGAGTGAAACTGAGTGAAACTGACGGATATTATACCGTAGTAGACGCTTCGGCCAGGCTTAACACGCAAACATTCATTCTATTCAAAATGGATCTTGAAAGTAATTCAAGAGCAGTCCACCAAATCGTCTCACTGTAAAAAAAAAAATAAATAAAAAAAATAAAATAAAATAAATGAACAATTATAAAATAAAAGAAAATGAGATAAAACAAGTTTGAATCGAGGAAGAACACGGCTATCTATGAAGAATCAGCCAGCTATGATAATTCACGTGCTCGTCATCGCGCGCAACTGCGTCGTGACGAATTTCGTATTCGCGCTGTGTGCTTTGCGCGAGTCCGTTGGCCTTGGGGCGAAAGTAGGCATCGAGCGAATATACAAATCCTCGTTACAGAGCGAATACGTGAGGAAACTGGAACGCCAGGTGGTATTGGCCGACTCGCAAGTATGCGCAGCTCTGCTCACGTTACTTCAGCAGGAAATCACGGGTTACGTGAGAGGTGGATGGATGCTTAGAAAAGCTTGGAGAGTCTACCAGCACGCTTACAATCAGATACTGCAGCTCTATCGGCGCACTTTTGGCAACAATCCCTCTGGTAGGTTCTTCTACGATCCTCTTGGCTAATTTAATATGCATGAGCTCTGTGCGATCGATAGCATTGCTTCCACAATTGCACAGCCTGTCTGTTTTGCTCTTAGGGCTACTACAGATACTTACCGAAGGCTTGCGCGCATGTAATACAAAGCGTTTCAATAATATTGAAATAAAGCAATTAAAGCATAAAAATTGAGAGACAAGAAATATTTCGATAAGCGATTCTATGATTCCTCGTGGAAAGTTTAAGTGTAGAACCATCAGGTTTTCACTGACGTTTCTCAAGTTGACTCAATTCTGCGAGAAGTTTTTTCGAGAAAGAATATCGCGCGGGAAGTAACGAAAAATGTAAAACGATTACACAGAGCGCCAAATTCGCTGACACCATTATTGAAAAGCAATCTTTGTCTGCGCAAACGTTGGCAGGCTTCCATTCGATGTGCAATACGCCGGCCGGCAACGGCAGTCCGCCGTCACAGCTGCAAAGTCCTTCAGCATCCGAATGGTCAGTGCCGTCGTGTAACGGCATCTCATCGCCGGAACCGTCTGCGTCGCCCGCGGGCCTGCGCAGCTCGCTATCGATGCTTTTCACCTTCGCCGGGATCACCAGCGAACAGCCAACGCCGTAATTCTTCATTTTCTCTTGACGGAAATAACATCGCGATGTTATGCCATTGTTTCTCACCTTCTTTTTCCTTCGCTGTGTAGTTTATAGATGGCATCACACCAACTTTCGCGAGCCAGAATTATTATTTCGACTGATCGATGTTTAACCTTGACCGATGTCGTTTCTCTGCTTCAATTCAATTATCCAATGTTTTTTTCCTTATTTTCGTCGTCTAATCATTTCTTTTCTCTAATCGTTTCCTCAAATATTTACAGATTCATTGAACCGTCCGAAGTAATTAGATTAATGTCCGCAATCAGTTTTGGATATGGAATCTTCCAGCTGTGCGTTAGTTTATTACCGCCATCCCTAACGAAAGTCATCCATTTTTTGGGTTTCGAGGGAGACAGGCAAGCCGGTCTTACGTCTCTCATGTACTCGAGATTGAGTGATGATATGCGAGCACCACTTGCCACGTATGTGTCAAGCACGCTCTATACACGGCCTCGTGCCCTCTCCAGTTGGCGCATAAGCTTCAACGAGAATTAATATACATCTGCTTTTTAGATTGGCCTTATTATGGTATCACACTATCGTGAGACCGTTTTTTGCCCTTGACGGCTCAAATGTCAAAGCTGGAGTTGACGTGGCTAAGGAATTAATTCGCGAATCTCAACCAGAGTTCAAGGATTCGGCATTGTTTTTATTTTTCATGGGTAGGGTTGAGCGTTTGCAGGTAATAAATAAAACAAATTGATGCTTTGTTGTTTAAAAGCATAACGTTATTTGTCGACCGCGCAAAAACATGTCGAAACCGATGTAGACGCGTATAAATATACATCATAGTTTGCTCTCTTGATTTCAAGTCGAATGTCAACGGCGCATTGCGGGCCTATGAGAAGGCCGTGGCGCTGTCGACGCAGCGGGAGGTGAAGCTGCTCTGCTTGCACGAGGTTGCCTGGTGTCATCTGATTCGGCTTAATTACGAGGATGCTCACACCTCCTTGACCAAATTGCAGGAACAGTCGCGTTGGTCCACCAGTTTCTACGCTTACCTTGCTGCTGGTTAGTTTATGTATTTTGCTTTTTTTCTCTCTTCCTTTCCTTCTTTCGTATTTTTCTCGACGTGCGAACGATTAGAGTCCACAGCAACTATTTTAAATAATGTTCCCTGAAGGTGTTTGTACAGATTTTTTGGGGGCCAATTAATTTTTCAGCTATGTCGATGTTTGCACGATATATTTCTAGTTTTCATAGTTTTTAGCCGCATGCCGAGATTTTGCAGAAGCAAATTGTAAATCGTTTATTTACGTTTGACGCAAAGTAATACGCTTGTATTTAACAATCGAGCAAAAAAAAATTAATTGAAATTTTTGTTGATAGTTTGCTCGGGCGCAGAAGGTAAAACGGAGCAGCTGCTGGCAACGCACAAGAAACTGATGCAATGCGTGGCAGTAACACGAGAGACACAGCTTGGTTTGTTCATATCTAGACGATCGCCGAAATTGATCGATGAAAATAACGAGCGAGCTTATCCGCCGATATACTACAAATTGTTAGTTTATGAGCTATTGTATCTGTGGAACGCCTTACCCTCATGCACCACTCAGGCACTGCACAGCATTCTAGTTGGTAAGTTTTTCGACTTCCTTCGTAATGAAAGGACAAAGTGTATCGTTCCGATGACGCAAGACTTACTGTCGGTTGATTATTATTTATTATACAGTTGCTTTCGATGAGATGGTGTATAATTTGTTGCACAGAGAGTTATTCTTTCTAATGATGATTAACTACCGTTCGTTCTTAATTCAGAATTGTTTGTTCTAGAGTGTAAAAATAGTCATTCAAAAGAGCCGATGGATGGTTTATGCGGTTTGATCGAAGGATCTGTTTACGCATACCTCGGAGACAAAGATGCATCAGTCAGGTGTTATCGCAGCTGTTTGAAACGTCGACTTCCTTCCAGAGATTTGATGGACCAGCACATCAGTGCTTTTGCGCTCTACGAGCTCGGCAATATATTGTCTAGTGGAATAGTGAGTTACTTTTTTAAGCAGAATTTTGACGAGGAACTTATAATTAATTCTCGTATAAACTCTAACCTCCACAGAATGTTGAAGAAGGTAGATGCTTGCTGCATAGGGCACTGTCGCAATACAAGAATTATGACTTTGAGAGCCGTCTAAACGTTCGCATCCACGCAGCACTAAAGAAAGTATCATAAGAGAGATCATATATACGTATCTCTATATATTTTCAGGGAATATTGTATTTTATAAATGCGCATGGTTGCGAAGGTATCTGATGCTAATCACGAAAAAATCTGAATGTAATTATGTAAAGTTAAAATCAAAAATTCAATCAATTTCGAACTCGACGTTATATGCTGACCGTTAGTGTAAAACCACGGGTTTGCGTCTATTCATGCATTCCAACCTCGATTATGTAAGATATATAATGTTTATAAAGTTTTTGAACCACATTTTCTTTAGAACGTTTTATTATTCTACCTACTTCGGGCAAAATTATTCATCGACTCTCTCCGCTGCCACCAGCACTGAAATTATCTAAATATTCAAGGTTTATGTTCACAAAAAAGATATGAATTGAATCTCTTCTATTATATCGTAGAAAAAATATTAACCACAGGTAATGCATCATTGTGAAGGTGGTTGCAATTGAAAACTATGCTCGCGCTTGAACCTAAAAATGTCAACAAAATACAATTCTGTTTGCCAATGATTTTAAGGAGGAGAGTCCGATGAGTTATCAAAGTGAGTGTACTTATGGCATGGGTTATTGTCCAACTCAAGTGAATAACTGTCGAAAATACGCCTGGTATTGCAAGTTCATCAAACCTTTTTTCATGTTCGCAGTATCGGTTATGTTAGGTGAGCGGTAAAAGTACATATATTGTTATTTACAAAGCGTAAGTTCAATATTTGATTTGTAAGAGTGAAATTGTTGCAGCTCTGTCAGTGTCGGATCTTAGTGAAAAATATTCTTTCGCTAAATCAATTCAGACAATACGATCTGATTTAAGTGTGCTAAGAAATAATTTGGACATAATATCGGTAAGGTTACGTATTAATAAAATTTATTATATTTTTGGCTTGAAACTCATAATTATTTGCGTTAGAATGAGGTGAGAACATTGAAGGAAACCAGAGACGAGTTTAGAGGTAGAATGAAAGAAACTATTTGTGTAATACCTAAATTATCCGAAGCAATAATAGAATTAAGAAATGAGCTTTCTGAAGGTATCCGATTACATAACCAACAATCGAAAAATATGAGATAATATGTCTTTTATACACAACAGGCATGAGCGAGCACACGAGAAAGTTAATGGAAATCATGTCTCCGGAACGGATAAAACAAATAGTTCGAAACGAACTACAATCTTATGACGCAGACAAAACTGGCATGGCTGATTACGCCCTTGAAAGTTCGGGTGAGACGGCGCATTAAAAATTAATTTTAGTTGCGGAACTTTCATTTGTGAACTAGTATGTAACCAAATTAGGTGGTGCCATTCTTTCTACGAGAGATACCGAAACTTACTCAGCAGGAGTTTCAGTTCTCAAATTATTTGGAATACCTTTTTGTCGCCAACAAAACACTCCAAGAGCAATAATTCAGGTTATTTTATAGCACAATTTTGCACAACCATCGAGACTTATCTTTACTATGATTATAGCGAAGAGTACTTCCTGGTGAATGTTGGGCTATCAAAGGTAGTCAAGGTTCTGTCGTAATTCAGCTTTTTGGTTCCGTTCGAATATCAGGCGTCAGTCTTGAACATATCTCACCGATGATTTCCCCTACTGGAGATACGACCAGTGCTCCCAGGGACTTTTCAATATGGGTTAGATTAAAACATTATAATGTTATTTTAGTTTACGTTATTGCAAACTTGTTACATTTAAATTACTCAGGGTTTGCTTAACGCTGGAGACAAAAACGGAAACTTATTGGGTAGATTTAAATACGATAATTTTGGACCTTCGCTACAATATTTTGAAATGGACGTAAGTTCATTCATTTGAAACTATTGCCAAGATAAAATCTAACATGGATTTTTTTCAGAGAATATGTGACACACCGTATAAAATTGTTGAATTGAAGATCCACTCGAACAGTGGTAATGACAAGTATACCTGTATTTATCGGATCCGAGTACATGGAAATCTTGTATCTTATGAAGAAATCCCAAGCTAGCTCAAGTACATTCATAAAAGTAGGAGTCAATCGATCTTGAAAGTATTTTGATGTATTTATTATAGATGATAGGGCAGTTTATTTACAAAAAAAACTTGAGAGAGGTTCTCAAATTTTTCAGAAAACTGTTACCTTAAATTTTGTATAAGCATTATCTTATAAGCATAATTTTATAGTCTGAATAAATATAAAACAGATACAAAGAATAACACCCAACGTAATTAACGTAATCTTCACTCAATATATTTTCTTTATACAGTTTTTACATTCTAATCAATTATTTTGCTATGTTTCATTTTGTTCTAAGCAGCTGTCTCTCATACTTCCACAATCAATAGACATTCTCATTTGTTTATTTTATAGTTTATTATTTCAACTTTGCAATTCTCATACACTCATGGGTTTTATTGAACCCTCGCAGTTCAAAAGAATCTCATTTATCTCGCGCGTGTTTTACAGATTTATATATTATATACATCGAATGCTCATTAAAACAAACTACGGTTCTTATTCTTTTTTCATTTGCTAGGTGTACGTAAAATAGTGCATGAACTGCGACGACCAGGCAGTTCTTCAGCAAAAACTGTTACTTTTTAAATATATTTATCTGCATTTATTTTAATCAATCATTTTACTTTTTACTTTAATTAACTTCATTAATTTTATTTTCGCTGAATCAAATCGCTCCATGAAATTTGAACGGTATACCAACAAAAGTGGAATACGCATCTGCGCTTTAATGTCTATTTTTATATGTACTGTTTTTTTCTTCTGTTTACACATTATAATTTACGTTTTAGATGTATAATATAATATAATTTTAGCATTTTACAGCTCCTCTCTTTATTTTTCAATTTATACAGAGGATCTGTAAAATTATTACTTTAGCGTCGTATCTTTCTTTTCGTCTCTTATTTGCAAAAAGATTTTTACGACGTATCCCTAATAATAACTTTTTCATAATTGATTATAATTTGTTTATTGAGTTTCTTTCTTTTATATCGTTTTATTATATTTTGGTTTAAAATCTCTGATGCCTTTCCAGGTCTATGAAAATCATAATAAATGCTTAGAAAGTGTTCAAACTAAAAATGATTGAATAGCGCAAGAGGCGCATCAAAGTACCAATAGAAGTATTATTTTGGTTAGTTTTCGCAATAAATGTTATTCGGCAGACATATAATAGAACTGCACTAATTTGCACTCAGATTATACGCTAGATAATTCGGAGGTCAGTCGTCTAACGCTATCGAGCTATCGAGATTCGGATGTGGTGCCAAGTAGTAAGTTTTAGTTGATATTATCATTTGTTCGAATAATGTTAATAAACAAATTGCGCCAAATTATAACTATTGGTACTCGATTATTACGTTGCATATTGAAATCTATTGTTCGCCATTTGCAACAGTTTGCAAAATAGATTGATTGTCAAAACGTTTGATTGAAAAGCTAGTAAATTTTACATGCTCTCTGTATTTCATTATTAAGTGTTTGAAACTGGTAAATTGACGTAGTTTTAGTATAGATCTGTAATTTTTTACTTCAATAATGTAAGTGAAAAGCTTTCCTTAAGAAAATCTGTTTAAGTACAGAATCTAAATTTGCTTAGAAAAGTATTTATTGTATATCCTAACATTCAAAAACTAAATAATACTTTCTAAAAATTCTACATGATTTCAGTCATTATAATATCAAGTAATGTATTTTGCTTATTATGTCCCAAAAATTAAACATCAAATAACTAAATTTAACAGTTTTATTGCACACTATCTACTTTCAACACAAAATTTACTTTCAAATGTAGAAAAATTTGATTTTAACTTTCATAAACTTTGTGCAGTGCAGTAAGATCAAACAAAATTGCCTTTATAACAATTATTAACTTACTTCATTACTATTCATTGGTAAAAATAAGAATATGACTAACAATATTTACAAAATATGTACAATATTTTTGTTAACAAATATGAAGTTCAATAGAAAACAATAAAATTCAAGCACCGTTCGTAACATATATTAAACACTCACAGTTTTAGTGCGCACTCATGAAATATTACTTTTAAATCTATGAAATGCTGTTTTATTGGAAAATAAAACGAGGTTAGTGGCACCACTACCGAGCGAAGGTTCGTCAACGTCTGTGAAGGCATAGAGTTTCTTTTTTAAACTCGATAATCGTTAAGTACGCTATACATAGTATCAAAATAAATCACACCAAGTGTATAGAGTAGAATATAGTACATTTATGTACAGATAGCGTTCTATTTTTTTCACAAGTCGCTTTCGTTTTTTTTTATATTTCGTTTAGACTTTCTCTTATTCAAAAAGTTTCGCTAGCGCACCTACTTATTTACTGGTTTTTTTATTGAATCTTTTTTAACTTCGTCGCTTTTAATGTTTTTTATTATTTTCTCACATTTTTAGGAAATATACTATAATTAAAATATATCACAGATGTTAATAAAAAATTCTCTACGAAGTCAAAGCAGAGTAAAACGAAGGATCATTCAACTAGTCGTCTCAGACAAAGAGTCAAGCATTCGAAATGGCAACAGGTAGGTCAATATTATACGTTTATTCTAATTTCATTGTGAGTGGGAAAGAGAAAGAAGTTTTTGAGAAAATAACGCATTTTATAACGTCAAAGTCTCGGAAGTACTTTTCCTCTATGAAAAGTTGTAAAATTTCAGAAAAAGTCCAAAAAATTCTGTAGAAAAGTGCGACAGTGTAGTTATACTCCGAACGTACGATCTCAAAGAGCTATGTAATAGCTGTTAATGGACTCGCGTTTTTCTTTTTAAACTAAACACACGAGTTGCTAAACACTTGTTCAAGTTTATATAGAATTGTCTAACAATACAATGTTATTGCTTATTTTTTCAGACAGATATTTTTTTTAAATTAGAATGACGAGATTGTCAGGTTGTCGCATAGAAAATGTCGAGAGAGAGAGAACTTGCATTCGTAACTCATCTGGAAAACCAATCCCGAGACTCCGAGTATTCAGTGAAAATCGCCAGTATGAAGAATTATCGATAATTCTTTTTTTAATCAACGACAGAATATATACCGTCCTTCTTGGACTGCCTCGCGCCCGCACGAGCGCGTAATTTGCATATGTACGCACGAGGAAAAACTTTCGGTCGGATAGGTTTTCATTGAAAAAGATCAGGAATGTCAAGTAGAGCGAAAACACCCAGTACATAGAAAATCGTTAGGATCCAGTTGAAATGATACCAAAAGTTTTCCTCTTGTTCATGCAACAAAACTGCATCATTGGTTCGGTAAACAAGCTGCTGTTCGACACAGTAACGTCGATGTCTTATCTAAGTTGTGGCTAATTACCATTGACGACTCTTGCTTCGTTTCATTCAATCATTTTAGATATTTTTTGGTCACAACGTTGTTTATCAATTAAAAGGACGACTTTTATCTCATTCAACTTGTATAGTTTTCTCAAATCTTTCTTATCAAATGTTCGCACGGTCAACGCTGGCATCGTTAACAATAACAGTATTTAGAGATTGTCATGAGAGTGGCAACATTGTGTGGCGCTAACAATTTGTAATAACAATATTTTGAACAACCAAATTATCTTGTTGATATTTTTAACTCTTCGTCAACTATATATGTTTTTCAAGACTCCAATAACAGTTCGTACAACAAAAGAACAAAAACATCGTCAATTCACGCATAAATTCAAGAAAAATCTTGATAAAACTCTATCATTACAAGGGCTATAGTTACACTTAATCTTATGAACTGTTTTCAACTTTCAAACTTCATTGCTTATAATCCGCCTGTTTTGTAATTAATCTCACATTGTTTCTTGAGAATAATTACTTGATTTTCGCTCGGTCAATCTGTAGCACAATGCTGGACTGATTATATAATGTAATGACTTGACTTGTCTTCTTGAAAAAGGCGTCAAAGGCGAGAGAAGGTGAATCGTGTGTATTTGTAATGTATGTGTGTACGTTAATTAACGACTATATTGTCATGCACTACAGTCTTTCGAACAGGACAGCGAAAGTTTTGCTCAGAGTTCACTACGCTTGTGTTGCTTTTTTTATAATTGCCCTCTTTTAAAGTCACTACGACGAAGACAGATCTTTTTCATGAAAATGTATCACCATTTACGATTTCTACGCTTTAGGATCTTCTCTGGCAGAACTCTTCTTTCGCCGTATACCCTGATCACTATAGCCGGGTTGCTGGATGACAACGACTTCGGGTTCAGTATCTTTCTCAGCATCATTCCGCTGGGTTCCCGTCTCGTCGACGAAGATCCGTAGCTCGACACTGCTTGAACCAACACCGACACTCACGTACTTGCCCTCATCCTCTTGTTCCTCCTCCTCCTCCTCCTCCTCTTCGACCACTCGATCGTCGAGATCTTTTTTGGGCTCTTCAATGGTGACGACGGGTGATTCGGCCGACTCCTCCTTGACGTAGAGTTGGCTGAAGGTGAAGGTTGACGTAGGCTTGAGACGGGAAGGACGTCTCTCGTTGATGATGGACTGCACGTCAAAGTCTTCCGGTGCTGGCTCGCTCCCCGTTGGTGGCTTATCTTCCTTGATTTCGCGACGACCGTAACTCGATGTGCTAGGCGACCTCGAAGCGCTGAAACTGAGTAATGACGAGTCAATAGCTGCATCGAAAATGAATTTTAGTAATAACGTTAGTCTGGATGTTAGCAGACAATAGATGTTCGAGAAAGAGGAGGAGCTCACCTCGAAACGCCAGGACTAGTGGTATCCGAGGAAAGGAGTTCGGGCGTGGGTATTCTAGCCTTGGCGGACCGTAAATCCGCCACCGGACATAGGAAAGCCTTTTGCTTGTACACGGCGCTACTAGTGGTGTCTCCTATGCTTGAGGTAGTAGAGTTAGTCGAGAGCCGACGTTGCTGTTGCTGCTGCTGTATAGACTCGACAGAGGATGGCCTGGAGGGTGGGCCAACGGCGAGGAAAGACCTGCTCTCGGCTTGCACGGAAATTGACGGTCTTGCCGCGAGGTATTTGGCGCTGCCGTAGGCAATGGACGAGGACGAGGACGAGCCTCTTTGCGGGATGATCCGTGGCACGCTGAGATTACTCGCAGGCTTACGTATGAGTTCGGCTACCTCAAAGTGCATCGGAGGCGTGGAGAACATGCCGCCGTGGCGATGCTGCGAATGGAAGGTCTGACGACGTTTCACCTTGAATTTCGATGGCTTTGCTTGCCGTTGCTGCTGATAGATCGATCGTCGATTGTCGTCCATTGTTGATACAGATACGTCTGCCAGCAAAGTCCAGATTGTTCTTAGAATATAGTTTGATACGACCTGGTAGTTTACAGTTGCGCAGTGTTTGCACATTTATTGCACATTGAGATTTCATTGAAATATTCAAAGGTTAACGCAGTTTAACGGGGATGCTTTGTTAATATAACAATTGAGATTAGGCTGATTGTTATAGTATTTTTTCACACTTAGATCTGATTGATATTTAGAAAATAAGTAAATATGGCAAAGCTCATTAAACATTTGTTAGTGCAATTTAAATTTAAATCTCAACTGCGGAAACATTTGGAAAGGGGAGTAGGGCATGATCAAATTTTTCCTGTCGTGACATTAACATCAAAACGTCTATTGAGGTAGTGCTTAGATGTAATCTTTCATAAGCAAAAAGCTGTGCTAGTCGCAAGGAAAATCATTCTGTACGTGTCGGATTCTAAAGAAAGTTTAATTTAAATATTTGTAAAAACGTTTTGAAAAATTGTAAATGTAAAAAAGTATGCGAAAGTTCTGAAAACAGCCGGATAAAAAGGTAGTCACAAAATAATAATCTCATAGCACATCCAATGAATACAGTAGAAGAAACACGCACGGGATTGATTTTGTTGGTTACATAGGTATAACGTGATTCCATTTGCATGAATAAAATTTAGTGAGAGTGTAAATAAAACGAGAGAAAGATATAAAAAAAGAATAAGCGACTGGCCAAAAGATGAGCCCTGCGGGCAGTGGCCATATCGATTTTTACCTCCCGTAAGGTCAGATATGGAGAGAAATTTGAAAAAATGAAAGTCTATCATCGAGCTGGAAAAGCCATGCCTTGTTAAAATCAAGTTATCTGCAAACAAAAGATGAAAAATTGGAGGTGTGAAGAGCGCAGCGTATAGCGGGCAAAGATGTAAAAGAGAAAACAGTCGAATAAAAAGTAAATTGCATAATCTCGGTCGTCTAATGAAAAGAGAAGCAAGCTGATGTTCACCATGAAAACTACCGTCGTTGGCTCTCTCTCTCTCAACAGGTGGATTGTAGATGAAGTTGGAAGGCAGCGAACGTACTTTGGACAGTCCCGGACGTGCAGCTGAAAACTCGTCGATACCCTCAGGCTCGACATCCTCTCCTTGCTCGATCATTTCCAGTTTCTCCTCCAGGGCCTCCAAAGCTTTCCTCTTAGCCGCATCACCTTCCAACTCTTCTTCGTCTTCCTCCTCCTCGTGGACTTCCAGCAGCTCCTCCTGCTCGGCTGCCAACTCGCGCTCCAACTGCGTCTCCATGTCCAGTTCATCTTCCATCTTTAATAAGCGCACACATGCGGCTTTTTTACGGCTGTACACTACTATCGCGTAGTACATCGATAGAACTGTTTTTACGTTTGAAAAAAATTTAGCAAATTAAATTTTCAGATTTTTTCCAAATTTATAAACGTAGATTGCGTGCAATGAATCTATTCGATTGTGCACTACAACCGAATGCACAATTCAATAACTATTTTCCGCTGAGAGGATTGCACGTGGTCGTTGCAACACTTAAATAATCGAAATATAGCTTTTATATTGTCAGCGGTTTGACGCGAACATAGTCAAAACTCTTTACGCTATATTTTAGCAGTAGTGCAGGGTCTTTTCTTGATGATGAAAAAAACATTCTGCTAGTTTTCATTCGGCTTTTGCTCTTGACATATGTTTTAGTCAGCGTGGATGCTCGTAATTAGTAAAATGCAGTTATAAAAGCTCGCATGCCGTGCGTATACGTAATAAATAAATGAAAATTCGACGACTCAAGAAAATGTTAGCTATTACTTGCCTCAAATACATGAATGTATGCGAGCAATGATTAGTTGGACATACGAAGAAAAATCAATTGTTCGCTATAAAAGTGTCGGATCAAAAAGGTGAAGCTGGAGTGCGAGAGACGGCAAAAAGAAAACTCACCTGCTTGTGACTCTCCTCCAGATGTTTCATCAGCACGGCAACGACGACGTTGACGAGCACAAACTGCGCCATAAGTACGAAAATGACAAAGAAAATGGGCGCGATGATGCTGCTAACGCAACAATTTTTGACGCAGTCGGCGGCGTCGTCGCAGTTGTCCCTGAGGGTGTCCTTCATGATGCCATTCCAATTGTCACCGGTGGCAACTCTGAACAGCGTGAGGAAAGCCATACCGAAATTGCTGAAGTGCGCGTGCTCGCCGAGGCCTTGACACGGCATCTCGTCGCTGCACTCTGCATGTACACAAAACACAGACACATACACTCGTGCGTTTATGCATGAGACGTGTGAACTTCGCCAAGTGCTAACCCTCGTTATTCTAGCTCGCGTGCGCGCACACGTGCACTATATACCTATGTATGACTGCTCGAGTGTCGAACTTTGAATTAATGGCGCAAGCTCGCCACGGCGTGAGCGAGTTGACGCTCGTTAGCAACTTTTGTAGTGGCAAGTCGTCTGCGCATAATTAACGATTGTACGCGCGCGCCTCAGTTATATGAATGCTCATCCAATAAGCGCCTAATCATCTTTCTTTTAATTCTCATTCGCTTCACTTTACGTTATAGCGAACGAATAGTTTTTTTAAAGTCACTTCGACAATAAACTTCCGCTGCACTTTGAAAATCGTTGACGATGCTCGGTGAATAACGAAACGTTAGTCTTTCCCTTCGGCAAAGTGTCAGGAAAAGCAATTTCATTATACGCATAAAAAAAGGTCCAGTTGCCAGACCTGCTGGCAGAAAGAAAGATAATTTCAAAAGAATTTGAGCTTACCTAGTCGCCCGAAAAGCTCCACTCCGAGCGCGGCGAAAATGAAGAAAAGTAGAAAGAACAATAGACCCAGATTTCCAACCTGCGGTAGCGCCTGCATCACTGTATCTAACAATGCTCGTATGCCTTTGGCCATTTTCAACAGCTTTAAAACTATAAAAAAAAGAAGGAAGAAAGACAATTGCAAGTTTTTTATATAAAAGAAAAAAAAAAAAAAAAAAAAATTAAATGTGCGCTTTATCGAGGAATACGAACCTCGAGCTATCCGCAAAACTCTCATTACGCGAATGATGGTCGGATTAATAGGAATGATTTTAGACTCGACCTCCTCCAGTACAATACCCACGACCGAGAGTATGACAATACCGATGTCCAATTGATTCCATCTGCAAACAACACACATTGCCACATTGCACAGAAACGGGCAAGCGGACAGCAGACGAGAAGTGCGTGTGCGCATTACGTACTTGTCCTTCAGATAAAGATGTATACCAAGCGCTATGAGTTTCATGAAGGACTCGAGTATGAAGACAGCCGTGAAGAAGTAATTGAATATTTTGAGAGCATAGGTGAGTGCTTTGGGCATCATGTAAAACTCCATGGCCATAGTGACGACGTTGAGACCGATGACCGCTGCTATTGCCAGATCGAAGTACTTGGACGTGACCACGTTGTGGATGAATAGGCGAACCTTCGAGTAGTTCTCGTAATAAGGCGGCTCGTGCATCTCTACAATCGTAAAAGCCTCTTACTTGACTCGCGCGACCATTAGACTTTTAGAGACTGTTTATAGTGAGTTCGGTAGCAAGCGGTTTATGGTTATTAAATTTCTAATTCGAATAAAAGTGCATGGTGAAGCTCGAGAGAGTGAGCACTGTGCTTGCACGAGCCCTTGCACTCGTATCGATTTCTCTTGCTCGGCTACAGTCACATTGGCTTATGCGAAATTGCGGAATGACAAGTAACGAGCGGGGCAACGTCAAAGAGTAGTCCTGCTGCAGTAGAAGCGACTTAGCCAGTATGAAATATCGGAAAGCCCAGAGCAATCTGAAAGTCAATATGGAAGCTAATCGCGACTCACGTCTTCGTTTCTTTTCCATCTGCAATGCGCGCTTGGCGGCTCTGCGCACACGCTCCTCTTTTTCCTGCTCCTCGCGACACCTGTGGAAGTTCTCGACGACCACGCCGACGAACATGTTGAGCACGAAAAAGCCGACGAGCAGTATGAAGGAGATGAAGTAGAGCAGCCTCCACTCGGAATAATTCTCGATTGGCTGGGAAAATAAAGGGAAGAGGAAAAAGTTATTTGACGACTCGTAGTTTCACCGAACTGCGTAGTTGGACTGATGAATATGCAGATTCGGCAAAAAGTAAGATGGAATTGGAAATTGAAAAGTAATTTGGAAAGTAAGTCGGCTGCGCTGGTGACGCGCGAGCAGATAAGGCGCAAGGGAACAATGGCGCGCGCACGTGTACCTGCTGATCGACACCGACGGCATCGAGGCCAGTGTACATGATGTTCACCCAGCCATCGCGCGACGACAGAACAAAGAGTGACATGAGCGCCTTGCCAAGATCGTCAAAGTTGTACTTCCGGTTGAGCCAGGCGTTACGCTTATCTGCCAGGCAGTCGGTTTTGTTGCGCACGTTCTTGATATCCGGGCCGTCGCAGTAGTAGAACGCACCCTTGAACAGCTGCACACCAAGGATCCCGAAGATAACGAAGAACGTGCAACAAATGAGGACGATGTTGCCGATTGGACGCAGCGACGAGAGCAACGTCTGCACTACCAATTTCAGTCCTGGAGCGCGGTTTATCACTCGCAAAGGCCTCAGCGAGCGCAGCAGCCGGAATACCTGTTGCACGCGTATAATTATTACTTTTCTTTTCATTCTTTCATTGAGTTTTCTAGCTATTTGTCTCGTCGTGAACGGGCATGGAAATATGCCGACTGACACAATTATGAAAAATCAATATCAAACCAATTCATCGCACGTTCGATCTGAACAAATGGAGGAATTAATAGAGCCCTGAATAAATTACAATGCATTGTTGCTTATTTATTCCAATGTCCGTATATTATATCAATGAAAAAAGTCGAGCTTTCATTAAAGGGTCAATAGCTCGTCCAGTAACTTCCTGCAATAAATCACGATGATATCGCCAGTGATAATAAATCAACGCGCGGCGCGGCGTCCTATTGTTAACGCTAATAAAACCCAGACTAAAAGCCACTGAATTATGAATATCAATATTGGAATGAATGTTCCAGCTCACCCTTAATATGCCGAATATCCTAGGGCTGCTCGATGATAACAAGGACATGCCGAGATCGATTATAGAAATGACCACGAGCGAGCCATCCATAATGTTCCAGCCTGACGTGAAGTAAGCGTTCGTTCCATAAAGCATCCCCGTCGCAACGACCTACAAAATCGAGTGAATCATCAAGCCGTTGAGCAGAGTAGACGAGGGAAGAGAGGGAAAACAAAAGCTCAACACTTTTCTGACGTGAGCTCTCTCATTCGCGAGTAGATAGAGAAAAAAGGAACGACGTTATCGCCAATCCGACAGTTAATGAGGCATAAATGCTTTGACCACGCTTTATGTACGCTTTGAGTTTTTCAAACAACGCAACGACTAGTATACGAGTGATTTATTTATACAGCTTATTACCACCTCACGATGAACTTTGTGTAGATTTAGAAATGGAGTTGTATATAACTATAACATGTTTCTTTTACGTAGTAAATTCCTTGATTTTCTCTACGATCTCGCAAGCATGCAAAAACTAGTAAAAGTATATTACCTTCAAAAACATTTCCACGGCAAAGACCACGGTAAAAATATAATTGGCGCTAGAGAGAAAAAGTCTCTCACGACTATCGGGCGGAATGTTCGGTCGTTCCATTGCTAATGTTATGCAATTCAAACCGATAAACAACAGCACGACGTTGTCGAACCATTTTTGCTCGACAAACCAATCGCAGAATACTCGAAACCTGTAACACACGTTTTCTTTATTACACACGGTTTGCGGAAGGCATCTAATACAGTATCATTCACAGTATTGTTTTGATGAATGCCGGTAGAGCCTTGAAATTCGTGAATGCAATTTCTAGTGAAAGAAAGGCTAGGTAACAAATGGTAACTCCGAAACAATAAGCGATGATAAATAGGAGAAGAATAGTGCGCTAGCGAACCTATTATTCGGCGGGAATATATAGAGCGAGTAGTCGTCGCGCTCTTTTAGGCAGCCTTTGGGCTCAAAGAACATGAAGATCTTCTTGATGCGCTCGATGCTGCCGGCGCTTTCGTGGTCATTGGACGGTGGCGTTTGTTCGCCTGTCCTCTGTGTCGCTGGTGGTTCGAGTTCTTCCTCCGGCAGCTGTTTAATCCGTGGCAGAGGGCCCACTTCCGCCCCAAGATTGTTTATCCTCGGTGGCAACTCGTCCAATGGCAAAGGTCGACGTGACAACGCCTCTGTCCAATGCATTTGCTGAGGCAACGCAAAAACAAGTAGTGCGAGTCAGCGTTTGTTCGGACATGCATTTCGGAAAGTGGACTTACGGATACGTATCGCTGGTTCGCGCTCGAGGATCTTCGACTCCTCATAGAATTGTTTGGGCTAATGGCAGTTGTACGATTATTCGGCACGTCCCGGTGCGTGTCATTTCTTATTGAACCGTGCAGGTAGCCACCGTTGTAGTTTGTGTAATCTCCGCAACTTCTGCAACCGAGTTATATTGTGCATTGTTATTGCGTCGAATGATCAGCATCTACATTCAAATGGCTGTGCGCCCTAGCACTCAATTATAATTTCATGTAATACAGCAGATGAAACATATTCTAATGAAGCGACATTTTCAAATTGTTTATCGTCGTCATGTGAATTGTTTTGCCGTGAAAATTTCACAGTACTCGCGGCGTAATTACTCTATATTCAATGTTCTTGCGCTGAAACAACAATTTGTATTTATAACGGCAGGCAATCAACATTTTGCCATATTAATTTTCATCTCGATGATTTCGCAGTGCAAAATGACCAATCGTACGAATGCAAAAGTCCAATTCAATGGTGCAGTGAAAAGATAAAAAAGAAAGGAACAGCTTTGCCCGGCGCACTTGAGCAAAAACAAATTTCGCTCTATACAAATCAACTGGAATAAGAGCTCTCAATATCTGGAGGCTGCAGAGCGCAGCAAGCTCATAAAACTTTATGAAACGTAAGAGGGTTGCATCCTGCGGCCAAAGAAAGAGAGAGCAAGAGAGAAAACGATTCTTTGGTTGAAGAGCTGCGGCGCCAGATAAAGCTTGCCTCGAGCACGTTTTAACCCAGAAGAAGATAAGAAGGAATGACGTTGATTCGCGGCGATATAACAGAGAGAAACCGACGGACAAGAAAAAAAGAAAACTCACAAGGATTTGTGACCGACGGTACTCCTTCCGTTATTGAGGACCATTGCATGGCCTGATGGCGGTGGCTCGTCCTCCCACTGGGACCACCTCTTCCTTCTCAACGAAGGCCTTGACAAGCGCCAAGAATATCCTCTTTGAATTCTCGGCGGGCTGTGACACGAAATACGACAAAGGATCCGTTCAATCATCACGAGAATCACTCGATTACGCTGCTTTTTTTATTCTTCCTCGTCTTTATTTATCTCATCTACACCCTTTTTTAGTTTTCTTTCTTTCTTCTCATAAGAGTTTGTCGTCACACTTATCGAGATTACAAAGCACGTTACAGTCAGAGGCTTCTTTTTCTTAAGATATTGATACAAGATACTCACTTTTCAGAACTTAAGTGTTCACAACGGATATCCCGAAATACTCACGATCTATAACGTACTTCTTTTATAAAAATAGACAAAACTTCCTAAATTATATTTGCTTCTATATTAATGGAAAACTATTAAAAATCTATGGATGATCACTTTTACTTTAAAAACGACATTTATGAAGCCATATTTCATTTATTATTTCAAAAGAATTCTTTGAAAGAAAATATCGACCCAGAAAAGAATTGTATTGTAAGTTCCACCTTACCTTGAGCTAAAAGATTCTCTCGGAGTGGAAGAATTTACAAGGCTGATGCGCCTCGAAGACTGACTCACTAAATTGTTTGTTGTATTTTTATTGTTGTTGTCAGGTGGTTTCAAAAATCCAGAATAAATGCTACATTGACTCTGAAAATGTAAAACAGATTCGTTAGTTTCATAACGTCCTTGTTGATTTTTGAAAAGTAGGCATTTTTCCGTGCAGATCCTAATAGAAATTTGACATCAAGTATTTCTCGTATATCTGAATGAAATAATTACGACATCTAATAGAGATGTTATTGTCAGATTCACCCATAGCTGAAAGACAAGCTCCTATTCAAACTCACTTTAGCAACTGTCCAAACGATAGTATAAATTGTAAAAATGTATCGATAATGAAATCATTATTGTGGGTTTCATGAGAATTAACTAGGAAAACCGGAAAAGCTGAAGGTTCTAGAGGTATCAAATATTATAACTGTAATAAAGACTCACAGACGAGCGATCGATTGACTCGATTGAAAGTGTCGTGGGATATATGGCACGGAAGTTGAGGTCCCGATAGCCGGTGTCGAGGGTGGTATTGGGCGAGTCCTGCGGTGTTGCGGCAGTGTGGGTGATGATTGGTGGCTGCGGTCCACCGGCAACACCCATCATCTTGCTCTCCTTCTGAATGTTACACTTGGGCTCGCTCTCCAACTGATGCTGCTTCCACGTATGCTGATTGTGTTTCTCACGGCTGTAATTATCCTTGTACTTCCGTAACTCTTCGCAACTCTGCCACGAATTTTTATGATCCTTCGTGCAAATTATGTTGAATTAGTTAGAAACAAGGTACTGTAGTTATTATACTATGACGAAAGATTGAAAACAAGACGGATTTTCGCCTGCTTTCAAACTTTTTACTCGTGCGAAAGAACATCTCGCTCTTCGAAACTACTTTTTAAAAAATGAGTTGGATACTTGACTAAATGTTACTTGTTCATAAGTGTGCGTTTGCGGTAGAGTTATGAAAAGTTACAGAAAAATATTTTGGACAAAAAATTAATGATGTTTGAGAAACTCCTAAAAGTAATTTGTCTTTCACTAAAAAGTACAAGAACAAAGTTTCGACGCTGAGACTTTTTCAAAATCCATCCATTGTAATTCAAAAGTTTTGTTAAATCTTACTTCTCGAGATTATAGCTAAAGCATCGCTTTTGAAAGGTATAATGAACTCTTTTCAAATCATCCGGTGTTGTATGATAATTTTTGAATTATTCTTATTCGCTTGCCTTATTCGCTAAATTTTTGCTAAGTCCAGATATATACATGAATCAATAAAGGCTGAATTTATGAATTTATCAACTTTGATTGAAAGCTTCGAAATTAAATAAAAAAGTGTAACGAGGGCTTCTTATTATACCTGAGTGTAAGTATCGCTATCAGAAATAGAATGAGATCTTGAGATTCTAGAAGAGCCTTCTTCACTACCCAGGCCAGCTTCTTTGGCTGCGAGCCTGGCTAATTCTCTTTGCTCCCGTTCTCGCCTTTCATTCCTCTGAATTGAAGTAAGAGCAATTTTTTACATGAAATATAACTTTTACGTTTGCCAGGTCCTCGAGTAATCTTATTGGCACTTCAATTTTTAAAAGAAATGAAAACTTTGCCAAAAGATCACGAACAGCGCCAACTTGTGCTTCTTTTTTCATCGTTGGCTACTAAGTAAACTATTTTGTTTGAGAGAAATGCTAAAGTGTTTACATAATAAAGTTATTTAATCGAATTAGCAAACAAATTTCAGCACAAATTGAGAAGCTGCAAGTAGAATTTACATGAGAATGTGAAATAGACGTTACCTCAGAAGAAAAACCTTCGACCAAGATAGCAACGAGCAAATTGAAAAGCACGTAGTTACCGAAGGTCATTAGAGCCACGAAGTACAATGCTGCCCAGTGGGATGTTTTTTGCATTCCGTTAAACAGAACTACGTTCCAATCTTCCTGCGTCAGAATCTGCATAAAGGGAGAAAAAGGGGAAGAAAGGTCGATGCAAAGGATTAATACATCTCCGCTGACTGTTTATAAAGTTTGATTTGCCTTTGAGCGTGTCATGTGCTATTTTACTTTACTTTCAATGCTGCTATTGTCAACGTACATTCTATGTCAAAGTACGAGAATGCATTTCGCTGGTTCGAGTCACATGGCAAATAAGACAAATCGAACTTGAGCGACCAGTAAGCGCATAGTCCCTGAAGAAAATTTGAGATTGAAAGATAAGAAGACTTCTGAATATTTCTCTTCGAAATAACTTTATAAAGTATATATTCACTCATTCTTGAGAGCGCTATAATGCGGCCGGCGGAAAATTTCCGTTGTAGTCCAAACAAACAAATAATAAAATAACAGATCGACAAATAAGCACGATCAAGCGTTTATTTACAAAGCCATTTGAATAATTCAAAAAAATAAACTCTGATAATAAAATTAACCATTCAACTCGTTAAGTAGTAAGTATATGTTATATAAATTAGAGAGTGATATTTCATGTTAACGACTTTGTAACAAAGAATCACAATAAAATACAGCACAGAAATTCAATTTTTGTAAAAACACACACACCGAAACTCTTTCGTGATTGTCAGCTGCAAAAACAGTAAAGCTCGACTTAAAGACTTGATAAAGTCATAGTGAATCCGAGAGATGTTTCATTTTTTTTTCTTTTTTTTTGCTGTGAAATCTGCTATCCTTATATAATTTTCGTTTGCACGTAATGAAAAAATAAATCCTGAGTGTGTATATAAATGAATTCAACTGTTTTTTCTAAGTAAAATCCATGGTATTATCGTGCGTTAAATAAAAAGTTAACAGTTGTACAAACGCTTGCATTTAACTGAGGAGATAAAATTCAAGATTTTAGTAAAGCTTCTAAAAGCCATGTAAATCGTAAAAGTTTCAATTAATCAAACACAAGCGTGTTCAAAATTCCAAAAAAATTACAGTTTCTTATCTATCAGAGCTTAGACGAATAAAAAAACCAGAGCATGAGTCACAGATTGTGTTGGAGAGAGTGTAAAACAGACCGATTTGACATGTATGTGCAAGTGGGTCAGAGACTGAGAGAAAGAAAGAAACGCAGAGGGAACGAAACCAAGAGAGAGAGAGGGAGAGAGAGAGAGAGAGACAGTCAGACAGACAGACAGAGAGATAAGATAAGAAAAAAAGATTGATAGAAAGGTACGGACAGATATCTTGAAGAATGAGAAAAAAAGGGAACAGTGGTACCTGGAAGACTGTAACAAGTGCCCAGACGATGTCGTTGAAATGTTTGCGATCACAGCGACACAACGGATGGCGCGAAACCACCTCGGCACAGGTGCAGGGCCGACTCCGGTCCGCCCACATGCAAAACTTACCCCCGAACAGGTACATTCCTAGGATACTGCAATCGAGACACACAATTCCCCCAGGGCTCAAAGTACACAACTGTTTCCTTCCAACGCCAACACGATATGGATATGATCTCACTCTCGCCCATTACGGCGGTTATCGATTTTTCTTTTGGAGTCCGCCCATGTGTTTTTTTCTCTTTTTTTCTTATTATTCATCGTTTCTTGCGAATAACGTCAGTGCAATCTTTATGCTGATCTTTGATTGTATTATTGAATTCATATTTGAAACTATCACAAATTTAACATTTCCATATTGTCACGGGTTATATATACTAGAAACGTTCGTTATAACACAAAATGCTTATACAGTGCTAGTACGATACCTTTCTCGCCAATACAAGCATCGAGTCGCAGCAGTGTCGCGGCATTTAAATGCTACGTAATTTAAATGCTACGGCGCACGGCGCGCAAAGGGTGCTCGAGAAGGAATACAGGAAAAGTAGTGGGTGTCACTGCTGCTCAAGTAAGACTAATCCGTGCAACGGGTCTAATTAATTCACAGCGCGCCTATTAGCCAGTGGCTATCGTCCGATAAGTAGCGCGATCTCTCTCTACATTTGAAGCAACAATGAATACATTTTATTCTTTACCATTGTCTCCATTACAGAGCGAACTAAATATCAAGGACTCCGAACCTAACCCAACCCGAACCCGAATCCGAGACAATATTGGTTTATTATTATATTGTAATGCTACTTAAGTCATATCGTTTATTTTTTAGTTTACTGAAGACCAATAATACAATCATGATGTTTTATTTACATAAAGTTTTTATACATTAATTATGATTTATATGAATGACTAAAATAATATGATAAAAAATTAGGACACATTTTTCCATACCTTGCTACAATGAATTGGGAAAAGTTTTGTCGTAACGCAGTCGATGCAAAAGCAAAGAAATATATGCGAAATATAGTAAAAAAAAGTATAGAAAAAATTGGAAAATATTCTACACGTATGAGCGTTTAAAAACTTTATGTCGAATAAAAATGATTAAAAACGTGTTAAGTGGTGACATAATGCATGAGTTTTCATTTTGTAATGACTTTGTACAAGAAAGTCTCAATTTGGTAAAGTTGAAAAATATTTGAGCGTATTTCAGTTGGATTTAGGATTAAAAAAAGATCGTACAGAAATGTTTATAAGTCAACTGATTGAAAACCGTGCAAATCGTCTAAGTACAATTAAGACTGTGACCGTAGAAGTATGCAAATATGGCCTCGCACAAAGGATGCGACGACGAAACTTTTCCAAAATCAATGCATGAGATGTGAAAGCGAGATTGCTTCGTCATTCGCATAAATCGATGAGCGGGCTCCATAAACAGCATTAAGCGAAAATTATCTAATAAAATAGTGATATCGATGTCGTTTTCAAAGCTCTAATAATGTACATTCTGCAAAGTTTGGTATGATCAAATATAGACATGGAAAAATGTTCTTTATAAATAGCAGCTAGTTCTTTTATGCTGTAATATTTACGCAAACCAATTCCTACGTTAAATTACAAGAATTTTCCTTAGTTTAACAATATTTTATTCTTCATTTACGTATAAATAAATAGTCTTCATTGATTCAGAAAATAATGTTAGATGACAATTTCCACATTTTTCCATGATATACAAGAGAAAAACATCTAATAAAATAATGTCGTGTTAGACAAAGCAAAAATCTGAATAGCATATTTTACAACAGAAGATTTGTAATGTTATTGTCATGGTAAATCAAGATGTATATTCCGTTTATTTAATTACTATTTGGAATAAAATGCTTGAATGAAGAAAATTTATTGACGTAGTAAGAGCAATAAAAAGAATATTAATACCTTTGATTGCAGAATGTGGTTTGACCTTACGAACATTTTTATAATATTCGTATATGTGAAAATAAAATGTATATATTTTGTTAAAAATAATTTTCGTAAGATTTGTAGCGAAATTTTTTCGGTGATATTATCGTGAGGTAGATGAGATAAATTTATTGCAAATATAACATTAAAATTTTCTAGTACTGAATATAAAAAACTTTTTTCATTAAAATAATAACTGAAAATGATTGCCTTTCTTTTTTTAAGCAAATCGTCATTGGGATTCAATAAAAAATGTAGTGCGGAGTATATGTGATTTCCTTTTTATCGTATTTCAGTCGAAGCACGACGTTTTATTGTGCTATTTTCAGGTTGAAAATACAAAAATTGCCTGTTAAATACTGATCCTCGATTCAAACTTTTACATCGTGCTCCGACCGAATCCACTTATTTATACATATGTATGCTCGTTTGAGTTGTTGCTAGCTACTTGGCCTAAGTATAAAATCACTAACTACCGAAGGACAAAAATATATTTCCAGTTTGGTCGTGTATTTGTGAGTTTTATTACGTATATAAAATGTTAATATTGATGCAACGAGCTTTTAAACTCAATTCCACAGTAATTTGTTAGGGAAATAATGAAAATTGACTTATGGATTACATATATGTGAATGTAAAAAGTGCATTCAAGACGTTTCGAGTTTGTTTATTATTAGTAAGTTTATTTTTTGAAGTGATTCATTTATTCGTCTATCACTGCCTATTTTAATCTTGTTACTACATATCGTGTGTAGATCTTTAATATCTACTAACTAATTAATTTATTTTGTGCGCTTCACGGAATACTACTCAATTTACGAAAAAAAAAAAAAACATTTATTGTAGTTTCAAATTGTAAATTACCATGAAAAATCTATTTCAATTTCGAGATTCTCGAATATATAACGCATTGACGATGTTAGTGGTACAATTTATTCAGATCGACATATAAAGGTACACACCAACATGCAAAGCGGTCACGTATAGTGGAATATGGCGGAACTACGGATAAGATTAGAGGCTGCATTGGACCTGAAATGGTTAGATATAGTTGAAGCTTAATAATTTCAAGAAAAAAAAATTATAATTGAAAAACTTTCGTTAGAAAAATTAATGCTAATGTTTGAATTGAAAAATATGAAAAGACTAACCATTTAACTTGAAAGTATAGTAGCAGCTATTTTTGAAACCACTGACAGCGACGTAGCTGCAGAATTATTAGAATATTGGAATAAAAAAGATCCAATGTATTTCCATTGCCTGAAATCCTATCCAATGCATTACTCAGAGTTTTATTTGGTGAAGAATAATGAAAGCTATATCTCGTCGTACAATATGTAAAATCAATAACATTCTACGACATCGATGTGATATCTTTGAAAAACCTAACACTTGTGCTGAGTGACCATTCTTTGATATGTACTAAATTATCTAAGGAAAATGTATCTACGTAGTAGAGCAAAAACTAAATATTCAAAGAAACAACGATGTTTTCAGTGTTTGAAATAAAAGAATAAAGTACAGCAGTCTCTAACAGCTTTGTCGTTTCGCAGAGACTGAAAGCTTATCAAAGATATCGTGCTTTTTCCATGAAAATGTTTATAAAAACACATATAACGACGAAGTTACAGTTATGGAACTTGCATATTTAAATGTGAGCCAGCCACCATTATACCATGAAGTGTTTTTCAACGTCACATTAAAATATACAGACGTACACACACACGAAGTGCAATATTTTTCTTAATTTAAACACGGAAGCTTGAGTGCAGCGACTAAATATATTAGCCTTAAAATCATTTCATGTACGATGATTTATGTATTGTTAAAAACGCACTGTTGAAAGCAGGTTGAAGCACGCTTAGCTCTAGTATAGCAACATTAACATGCTCTAATATCGGCTATTTATTAATTACTGAAAATTGATTCATAAACTGCAAATGCACTAGAGAAAAAAATAATACAAAAATTTCATGAGAAAATAAAGCCGTAGGTACTTATATTGCGTTGTTACATTAGTATTTTTAATGTGTTGATAATAAAGCAGATTTCTCATATTTTTATAAAAAAAGCAAAAAAAAGTTAAAAAATTTTATTGTTGCTCTTTCTCTCTTTCTTTCTCTCTCTTTTTCTACCTCGTTTACGAACGAGAGCGTGCCAAGAGACGTATACGTTACCTTCGCTTCAAATCATTTAGAACAGATGTGTCCGAGGTAAACTTGAAAAAAAAGTTTGAGCTGCGTATGAACGTAACAAAAGTTATTAATAAACTTTTGAAAACATTAATCATGAAAATAAGCCTATTCAAAATTTGGGAGGTTCAACAAATTTCTTTGATACTCATGCAGCGCGATTGAAAAACTCAACTCAGTATTGATTGAATTTTTTTCAACGAATCTAAAAAAAAAAACAAAGTTTGCCGACTTATTAAATTCTTGGATTTTGTTCCCAAATTTTGAAGATTGTTTTGTTAGATTGAGCAATAATTGTTCATACGGCCCTGTTGAATGAGTCGCTTTTGTCTCTCAAACACGTAAGTGTTATGCAAAGGCTTTTTTAAATAGAGTATTTTCTTTTATTTTTGAAAAAAAATTAGCCTGTAAGTACCTGAAATACTGTCACCGTAGCCCAGAGTAATGAGTCAAAGTTTTTCCTATCACACTCTACGTCAGAGCCGTTGTTCAATGTATCACAGAATTTGCAACCGAACAGGTTCATCCCGAGTATACTACAACACAACGAAACGTGCTATATATTTCTTCATTCACTGGGATTTTCCTTTTTTCGATACACTCTTGTATTAAGAAGCATTTTCCGATAAAGTTAAATGTAATCTTATACTATGGCTGTGCCACTGTCAATGAATGTCTTCACTTTTATAAATGATTTTTCCGAATTTCGAATATAATGCTGTTTTATAAATTTGTAAAATATCACTTTGACATTTCATGAATTCGAAAAACTAATCGATAATACTTCGAGAAAAGGGAACCCCAGTATCGTAAAAATTAGTACAATTAATAATTTAAAATGAATAACACATCTTCATAAAAAATCTAAAAGATAGTCAATTGTTGATTAGCGCAAATGGCTAAACGAACACATATCTAACTATTTAACAAGCTCTACCAAAAATTAAACGTTATTCACTTGAAAAAGATAGAAAGATGACGAAGATTTCCTGTTAAAATTATCGATAAATAGAAAGTACGTAGAGAAATTTCAATCAAATGTAAGCAGATAATGATTGAGAATCTAATATTATTAGCACTAAATGTATGAGACTCATGTATGATAATATTCATCAAATAGTATGAGAGAAGTTAATAAAATAAGAACAAAAAAGTATATACCGAACATCTGCAAGCTCTAATATCGACGAACACATTGAGGTATCATAATCATGGCAACACGTTTTTTCACCCGCTAGTGAATTGTCGCACAACAAGCATTATTGTTTGTCTCATAGACAAAGCTTTCTTTTATGCTCACTTTTTATTATTTATTTTCGAGCATTCTTATCACTTGTTATTAATCTTATGTTCCCGAAATTGCTCGAAGCATAAATTATTTATCCTGACATAAATTGGCTGCTGCACAAATGTCAACAAAAAATCTATGATACCTATTAAGCTTTGGCATATGTAGTACGATAATAAAATTAGCATGACTTTTTTCTCATGATTTATTTGAAAAGATTTACCATTCTGAAAAATTACCGCGAGAATATATCCGCAATAGTACCTATCTTAAAAGCAGAATCAAGCTTGGTTTTCATAAGAAAGCTTTACTCCAATGATAATGTTCTCAGTACAAAGCCATGGAATATCTACGTTTGTAAAAAGCCAAGTGTTTCTTTCTGTTTGTAATACTTTATTTAGATAACGCTATCGATTAGATCGGCAGACATTTGCGAAGCAAGCATGTAAGCTCATTTCAGAGTTTTGTCTGTTTTTGTCATAACAAAGAGTGATAATATACTCGCATGTAATTTTTACCGTTACTATTCAATCTCAGCCTTTTATATGTTCTTGCTAGACATTTCCAGCATATATAGAATAAGCACCATGCATACACGTATAAATATCTAATGAATATAACAACTGTATATTCGATGCCTCAAGCCATAAATGTATTAGAGAATGCGAAGGCGAATTTGTCGGCACCACAAGTAAATTGCAAAAGTGCTAACAATATCGTCATGACCATACCGTCAGCGCCGTATTTGATTTTTCAATGGTGGTTCATATTTCATTTTCGGTTGTGTTAATACATTCTATAAATTAATTCTTTTTATGTTTGTATTTTTTGAACGATTGCCCAGGAGAATAAAGCTTTTCAATTCTCGTAATTTTACGTAGTCGATATATAAATCTTTTGAGGAAAGAAAATCTATTAAACTTATATTGTATATGCATGACCAAAAGATGATACTGATTTTGTAAAAGAAACTTTACGAGCGATAGAACTTGCGAAATTCCTTCTTTGTTCTCTTTAGTTAAACTTTGCTGAAGTTTAAGCCGCGATTTTGTTAAAATGAGGCTCTATCCTATTGTTACAGTTTCTTCACCAGCTCTACAGCTCCTATCACCAGAGCTTTGTTTTGGCTAAAATTTAACTTAGTAATAACATTATTTAATCGACAATCTAATGGTATTGTTAGAATTTATTTGAAAAAAATATATGTATAAAAAACTGTTCTTTTATTATAATTCTAAGTCTATGTATGAAATTTCGATGAACATTTAAGCTAATTTACGGATTATTCGTAAGTTAATCCTTAAAAACTAAACATACTAACGAGACGATATTATAAAAGCTGGTTGGACTTACCTAAAGATAAAGATGAACAGTACTAAAAGAGAAAAAAATATGGCCACGTTATCCATCGTGCGTAGCATTACAAATAGCTGCCTTCGTAGATTCGGCATGAAACGCACAAGCTTCAGAATTCTTAACAAGCGAAATGTCCTAAGAACGCTCAGACCGGAACTTCCCCCTCCACGGCTATCCTCCAAAAGTGATTGACACAATTCGACAGCACTAGATTTAGATACATCACACAAAGTATGCATATTTTAATCTGTACATTACCGAACGAATGCTAAAGTAAAAGCAACGCATGAGCCCAGAAAACACTTGAATGTATAATATCAATAATACCTTAAAACAACAACGACACCATCGAAGACGTTGAAACCATTGCTGATATACCCGAAGGGTCCTTCCGCTACGACTTTTAATAACATTTCGACTGCGAAGATAGCGGAAAAGACGAAATTGCTCATCTCGACTATGACTGTCAGTTCTTCTGGCTAATAATCAAAAATACATGAAAAATACAATAAATATTATGTTTATTCATTACCTATTTTTCATTTATAGAAAATTAATATTTCATTTCTTGGCACAAATTTTAAACCAGCGCAATATTTATAGTTTAATTCTTCACAGTTTCAACTTTTTTTGAATGAACTGTACTCGTTCTTAGTTTATGCAACTCAACTATAAGGCAAAATTTTAAATAGCAAATATGAAAAAGCAAATTAAATAAGCTCAAAAAAGAGGAGAATTTCAAAGCGTTTGAGAAAATAATGTACACACCTGATTATGATACTCAATGCCCATACTAAGGGTATTAATGAGTATGGCAAAGAGTATACCCTGTTGGAAGTACTTATGATTGACGAGTTTTTTAGTCCAGCGCCTCGTGCAACGAAGAGCACACAATACGCAACTGCCGCCAGCCTTGAGAAATCGCCGCGTCTGTGATCTTCTCCATCTGGCACGGATACCGGTCGTTGGCTCTTCGGGCCAGTGCTCGTTCTGCATGTCGCAACAGCACGAACATACCTCAGCATCTGGACCGGATAACCACTGTGTGCGATCCTCCACCGTTATATGTCGGTCGGTTATGCCTGTTTATCCAAGTGAAGCTAGCGTTTCGTCACTTTCGTTTTAATACATTTTTTATTCTAGCAAATTTACACGACTATCTGGCTGAATCTAAGCAAGCATGTTCCTTCATCAAAATTTTCGGAAAATATCGCGTCACTCGTGACATTTACAAATCACTATCTGAAAGTGATAACGATTAATTTTCCGACCTTTGAGTGTCGAGTTCAAAGCAGCTTTTCTTCAAGTGGCATCTGATTGCCGCACGAGTAGCTCGCGTGACTAACAATATCTGCATCGTCATAGCATAGCGTAGCTCGACAAGTATATAGTCGCGAGGGTGTATAAGCTAACACTCTCGGTCTCGACTTCTCTCTAGAGAGAGTAAGTTTCGCGCAAGCGTTATTGGAAAGTTGAACAGCACTTTGATTTATCGAAGGTGTAAATATGTATAGAATGCCGCGGCATCTACATGCGTGTATATATACAATAATACTTTACTTACCTTTAGTGAGTGAATTCAAAAAGGAGTCGAGGGCCAATTGGCCGGTGGGTAAGGCAGCGCTGAGTGCCCCACTTAATGCGAGAAGTTCTTGGCACGTCATTGCTTCGCTGCCACCGAGCTCGGCCTGCAAGTACAAACAAAAGGTTTTGGGGGGATGGATAAAGCGAGAGAGAAAGAGAGAGAGCGAGAGATAGAGAGAGAGAGAGAGAGAGAGAGAGAAAGGGAGTGAGAGAGAGAGAGAGAGAGGGAGGGAGTGAACTATTTGGTGATTAGGACGAGGCACCGTTTTATCGTTAAGTCTCGTACAAGTTTCATTCATACACGATCGTTAGAGCAATTAAAGTGGAAAACCATAATTACAGAGGCGCCACTAAATCGTCCATTATGTCTTTTCAGTTGCTCTGCTATTTTTATACTTAACATATGAGCTTATCCCATTATACTGATCAAGTTTCAGCATTGTTTTTACTGGCAATTTTGTATATTTTCATAACAAATTATTTTGTTTTATTTTTGATTTAATTTTTATTCAAATATCTTTTATTTTGGACGGTTTTTCCTCATAAAAAGCTTATATAAAGAAGGGTGTGATGTTTGAAAAACATATAAGTTATATGTTTTTCAAACAAAAATATATAAACACGTAAGGAAATAGATATAATTAAATAAGGTGCAGACGCTCCACTCAAATTTTAGTGTTTAGTGGTCAGACATTTGTAAAAAGTTATTTTGTAGGTTTGACGTGCTTTCAAATGCTTATATACTGCTTTGATAACATCAAAAGTTTTTTATGGATTTACACAAATATTTTTGATATAATTGATATCGAAACGTGTAACATATTTCCTGGTACTGTGTATTAGGTTTTATGTATAAGTGAAACACATGTGAAAATGAGTTACTGAAGATTGCTGAAAGTTGACGATGAGAATGAATGCTGTCATCTGGATACCTATTATATATAAAAATTTTCAATTATTTTGTATCAAAAAATATCTCTGATTAATGTATTTAACCTACTGCCAAAAATGACTAAAATTATCATAAAAAAAATAAAAATATCTTTACGAGAAAATTAACACGGAAATTCGAATGGATCGTCTTAGCTATGCGCAATAAAAATACCATGCATTCTTCGCTTTGAAATTTAACATGTAAATTGAAAAATCTAATGAAAATGCTTCTAGGATTGAAAACAGAAGAATACAAAAATTAAAAAATACCTAAAAATGAGCTAAAGAACAGAAATATCTTCAGAACCAAAAATATACGATGAAGTAAAACATCTACATTGTAAAATAATTCAACGTAAAAATATTTTCTCTTTTAACCCTTTCATGTTACTTTACTCTTCAGTGGTTTAGACGCATAAGTATATTAATTCAAAAGATGGAGGAAGAAAACCTAATTTTATTTGTTGATCAATTATATGTACAAATATATACACTGCAATATGTACACTACGAGAGCGATATGTACACAAAAGGTAGAGTATAAAAACATCGATAAGGTGAACAGAGTAAAAGAGAGAGAAAGAGAAAGAGTGATAGAGAGAGTGTTAGCGAACATCATTTGAAAGGGTTAAAAAAAAGAAATAGAAGAGAGAGAGAGAGAGAGAGAGAGAGAGAGAGAGAGAGAGAGAGAGATTGAGATAACGGACATACTTGGACGTTATTAGGCTGGGGCATCGACCAAACATTGCCGTCGCCGGTTTGTGTCATTTTCTCGCTGGAGCAAACGTTTCGCTCGCCCCCGGCCACCCCGATCGAGCCTGGCAACGTGTTAACGCTACTTCCGTGAAGCAGTATGACGTCGCTGAACATCACGCTGCTTCGTCGCCGATGTTGCACGCTAGGCGGGCTCAAAAGCGCGTTGTGCGTCTACGATTTAAAACGATCCTGTTTTCCACTCTCAATTTCTCAATCGACGGCTCGTTTGGCCCCCTCACTTCCCTTTGTTACTTATTTTACTTTCTGAGTTTCTAAATGACGATTATTTTATGATGTGAATGGTACTATATTGTGGATGGTAAAATATGGTTTTGGTTGATATATCGTATAGCAGATAGGCTAAGCTAGCATAGTCAAGCGAAAGCTTTATGAGTAAGTGTATATATACTATCCGAGCGCATATATCACTGTTTGCTGATTGCCTAGTTCATTAATTGTCAATATCAACACGAAAATTTGAGTAGATCGTATTGATGTCATGATTTAGTAGAGAAGTTTGACAGATTAGCTGATGTTAATTTTAAGATAACAATATTGTAGCTCTAACTAGTTAAGCTTTAACCTATTAAAACTAATCTTGTTAATCTTGAAAAATATATTTCATGTCTGGTAGCACGCAAATATTGACTTGAGTCGGATTTAGTTATTTAGTCTGACCGTAATCGATTTTTTCTACTGAAAATAATAGCGTACATCGAAGTAAAATTGTTATCGAAGTTCAATTGATGTACACGCGGGTACAGCGCATAATCACTAGTAAACAGAAGCGTACCTCGATGACGTTAATGTTATTCTCGCTGTCATTGGAAACCGAGGCATGGCGATGCCTCTGGTTGACGGACACTTCGACCTCAGATATCTCAGGACTGGCACGTGGTGCAATGGCGTTGCTTGGTAGTGGCGCGACAGTTGTACTGCCTTCTTCAACGGCGTTTAGCCCGACTTGCTCTGTTTCCAGTGCGGCTAACAACCGAGGGCAACGACAGTGATGCAATTTGCCATCTGTTTGCAAAGAAAAGTGATGAGACGCTATCAAGTGATTGTTTGGCAGATCTGCATATCGTTGAACGCACCAGCCAGCCTCGACGATCGAACAAAATTTGTCCGCGCTTGACTGTGCGGATCTTTTAACAAATTTCGTTCTTGCTTTTGTTGTCTACTATACAAAAACAGTCGATACTTCTTCATCAATCTTCTTTTGCCTCTCCTCCAGAGATGAGCTATGTATCTGCAAGATTAAAAAGCCCTGTCTTGAACAGCTGAACAGCTGACATGTATTATAAAGGGTATTAATTGATTCTGTACGCCAGAGAAGTTCGTCCTATCGATCGTTCGTGAATTTTCAGCACTCAAGTTAGCACTAAGCTTGGATTATCGTGATATCTCATATTTGCGTGAAAATTTGTAGAAAATCGCGGAAAGAGCGATAACCGAAACAGTGCTGAGGACAAAAGTCAACGCTCACTTAACAATCTCGGCGTAACAGGAGGTGGGCTCGGACGTGTTGGTGGAAGAAGCGAGGGTACTGGTAGAATGAAATCGAGCCCGCTCCAATCGCATCCTCTCCATTTCCCGCTTCTTCGTCTCCGAGAACTGAGTCGCTATTACGACTAGGCAGAGGTTGATCATGAAAAAAGAACCGATCTGCAAAAAAATAATCGTATTACGTCGTGGCAATCCTTTGAGCTGCCTTTTATTCTTTCTTTTCTCGTGAGCCCTTGTGACGAGAATGCGCTGATCACGCTCACATTTCGATTGTACCGAAGGGCTCAGAAAAGCTCGGCGAAATCATTTTGAGCTCCAGTCTTGCTCGATAATCCCTTTTCACTCATTTGCATTCGATTCCAAAGGCATTAAAATGCAGTTTTCGCGTCAGTGTGAACGCAATGAGAATTGATTGAAACCGAAGAAGAAAGATAAAAATAGCACCGAGAAATACAGCAATTACTCTCGACTCTGCTGAAATTGGACTAGCGCGGTGGGCAAAAAACACAGCGGCATCTTTAAATCGCAGCAATTTCGAGCCGTTAATCGTTAGAGAGGCAAAAGTAGCACTTGGCGCGCTGCCAGGATTGATTCGAGCCAAAAGAGTCGGTGCACTCTCTTCCAGCAAAATAAATATGAAACCAAGTGTTGTCAACTCACGACGATCAAAAGGACAAAATAAATCCAGTCCCAGAACGAATGAGCATCCTGCACGTAGTACATGATGTCTGTCCAACCCTCGAGACTTATAACCTGCAAAAGTAAGAAACAAAACGCAAAGTCAAGTAGAATTCAGCAAACTCTCCACGAGCAGCGTGAAAAGTCGAGTGAGCGCGTGGAAAGAGAGCGGAAATAATTGTTCTTAACCTTGAACCCAGGCTACAAGTGGGTCTCTAAAGACTCACTCGCGACGCGTCAACTTTGAAGCAAAGAAGAAGATGAAGTAGCGGAGAAACATACACAAAGAGAAGTGTAATGTGCAGTACTCACGAGAAAGATGGCCACCCAGGCAAGGCCAATATTGTCGAACGATATCGTGCCTTGGAAAGGATTGTTTCCTTGGCCCTTACACTCGGTGTAGTAGTAATTCCAGTTGACGCACGTATCGTTGCTGATGAACGTCACGTTATTGTTCGGCAGTGCTGTGTGATTGCACTCCACGCTCCCTGCACATTCAATTGAGTATTTCGTTCATTAAAGCGCGTGGGATTTTCAATGTCGTGCATGGGCAGGCAAAAATCCAGGTCGAGTGGATCTGAACAAGCTTAACACTCGTAATGCAAATGCTGAATTCACGTCGTTCGTAAGAGCTCAAATTACATTTATAATGTAAGGAAAAGAGCGTTAGAATAAATGCGGAGTGCGTTCAATAAAATAATAAAAGGCCAGATACTTGCCGATCTTAAGTAATGGTAAGTTGCTGCAGCTGTGCATGCCATTGTCATCGGGCCTCGAGCAAATATAATCCTGTCCCTGGTACTCGAAGTACTTTTCCAAGTCGCTGTAAAGCGCAAAATTCGCGGTCGTTAATCGCGCACATCCGAACTCTATACACAGACACAGACGCAGGTCGGTCCTGTCCGTGTCCTTGCAATCATCGGCAAAAAAAGGAGAAAAAAATTAATAATCTCTCGCAAGGCATATTGCGCACACTTGCTTGTCTTAACACACTGCATGCTGCGAGAGTGTGTATAAATATATATATACACATACATACATACATACATACATACACACACACACACACACACACACACACATATATATATATATATATATATATATATATATATATATATATATATATTTATACACTAGAGAGTAGGAGGAAAGGGTGTCTCGAGCAACAGTGCACGATCGACAGAGGTTCACAGTGGAAAGTAAGAAATAGTAGTTACTGGTGTGTGACAGCGTACATAGAGACATATGCGTGCAACATATGTATATATAGGCAGAGAGATTTCAAACAAAGTAGGTATATTTAGTCATTGTCTAGCTAAGTTATCGTGAGTGTTGCACATTTTACTTATCTACGTCGCCTACTTTTTCAACTACATGGCGTATATATGTAGCTGCGAGAGCTCATAATCTACGCTTGTGAGTAGTATATGTAGCTTCAAACAGACGAAGTTCAAAAGTGATGGCTGCTACTTGAAATTCATGCTTTGCAGTGAAATCGAAACTGGTTTGCTCGAGCTTTTTATCTATACCATTGGTTCAAGTGCACAATTTATTCGTTCGTTTGCCATATTCTGCATAAGTGACGGCTTCGAAAGAAAGAATAAAGCAGTACAAGTTCGCGCGATAACGAGCGTTAAATAAAAGATGGTTGTAAAGAACTTGCACGCAGTTTTTAAACATGAAAGAAAGAACGATCGCGTGTTCGTTCGCATTCGTTCGCCGTGACCGCGAAACTTCTCGCTCCCACATTAATACCCCCGTTCGCGTAATGAGCGTGATTCTAATTACGTGCTGTTCGTTGTCCGCCTAACTGCCTGCTATTTACATTTCAAAAAACTTTAATAAAAGAGGGATAGAGAGAGAATGGAATTATTTTAATTCTCCTTTTCTTGAAATGACAAACAGAATGCGGTACAGCGCGCCAAGACATTTCAATAAACGCGCGCATCGAATAGATGAATGTAGCCGCTGGAATTGCATTCGTCGGCACTCAGCAAATTTCTCATATTGCACAGCGAGATGTACGCGAAAACTTGCTAAGCCACGCGTCGCGCGCGAACGAAAGGTTTAAGCTACAGGCTGTGCGAGTATGAACGTCATATAGTCTATACAAACTCGCAAGCTCGTTTCGCATTCAAAAGGCTTTCTCTCCCTCTTTTTCTCTGTCTATGTGTAGGTTTGCAGCTAAGGACATAAGCGTGTCGTCGCTTACGCCACGTTAGCGGAGATTCTGTTAACACGCGTGCGAACCCAGAAAAACACTTGGAGGCGCTATTTAGCGAGGAGGTTTAAGCGAGATTCAATTATCAATCAGCAGAGCTTTACGTCAATTCACGCGACAACTGCCAACATTCAGCGTTATCATTCATTAACAGATTTTCTAAAACTCGATGCACGTAAGGTGCTGTGAAAATGTTTAGGGTCGCGTGTAGCGTCCTTTTAACTGAATTAAATTTCAGCATCGTTTCATGTACGTAGCAGTAAATGGACGCTAGAAAGTTTGGACGCGTCGCGTTCAAACGAGCTAATTGGTCAAATAACACTGCGAGTATTCGAAGCTTTATGTAGGTGGACTTGACTAAATACGGCAATAACTTGTGCACAGCAAATAGATGGAGGAAGAGAGAGAGAGAGAGACTCGAAGCTTCGTGCGCTCATTACTAATTCAATCTACAGAGATGTACGTGCAGATGAATCAAGATAATTGTTACATTGACTTTGTTCTCTCGCTAAAAGCCTGCGTGTAATATGCCAGGCTCGGCTTCTTCGCGAGCATGACAACTCTCGCTCTAGAGAATTGAGAGAATTCAGAGAATCAGATTCGTTGTGCTCTAATGTCTGTGGAGGCTAGCACTAGTGCTCGTCGAATGCACGTTGAATAATACACAACCCGCCGAGATACAAAACACGCCTACCTCTCTCACTCTATGTATGTATATGAAGTAGAGCTGGGGGATCATCGCAATTAGTGTCAATCAGCGTGTCTAAAGGGAGGAGAGCTTGCAGTAGTGAGGCTCTAGAGCTCGTGAATTTTTATAAAGTTAATCTACGTTGTCGTACTGCAATATCGCTGCACGATCGTCGCGCACAGCTGCTCAATGATGTGTCTATGTATATCGTCAACGTAATTTCTCTGCGTCTATGTACATCGATACACGATTTTCGTTAAATAATAGTCTATCGATACATTGCGTGCTTTTTTTATCATATTTTCAAAGACTTTTTTCCAATTGAATCTGACACCGCTTTAAAAAAATCCGAAAAAAATGGGCAAATGTATTTCACAACTGCGTTTACAAAATCAATTAGACATTTTAAAAGAATATGTCACATGTGTCAATATAGTCGGTATTAAATTTCTTCTTTTATTCACGGCATGAAAGAAAATTTTAAATCAAGATAATCCTTTGCCGACAGAGCTGACATAAAAACACTTGATTTTCACGGTACAGAAGGGCGATAACGCACGTGGGCGTACTGGGAGAGATACAAAAATGTTTTCAAAAAATATTACCGACGCATCGAGTTCAGCCTCGCAATGCCAACACGTCAATGATTCCATTCTCCAACCTCTCGACCGATGCGTGCGGCACCATTCGTCGCAATTTAAACGACAGAGGAAAAATCTGATTCTATCAACGTTAAAAAATAAAATCTCCTTTTTTCTGTCGATTATCACGTTTAATTAATCCATTTTGAAAAGCCTTACGGTTGTATGAACTTTACAACGTCGCGCTCGATCGAATATTGCTTTTGTCAAGCGAATTTTTAATACAAGCGCAATTGTTTTGTTACTCGTTTTTAATCGTTCACGATAGATCAAGTGAAAATTGAAAATCCTCGTCGTTGTGACATTAGTCGAGGATATTCCATGCATGAGCGATCGCGAGGGAGAGAAAGCGAACGGGGAAGGTTATTTTATCTGATTTCGCTTAATCCTAATTTCGTTGAGCTGTCAGCTATGCCGGCTCTCGAGCCGGAGGTATTATTCTGCAAAATCATCGTCAAGCCAAAGATCGATGCAGCTTTGCGTTAGCTATTTGCATTTTCCGGTAAAGCGATCCGCTCGCGTATAACTGCGGTAGACAGATTTGCTCGACTCACTTTTATTATAAACTTGCGACAGTTTTTTTCCTTCTCTTTTCCTCTTAGACTTTTTATTTCACTTTATATTTCACGGTTTGCTGAATAAGATTACCTGCGTTATTCCAATTTCATCAAATAAAATTCTAGGATTTAAAATTACCATTCAATTCAATGAATTTCAAATAGTTCATTTTCATTTATTGAATATTCAAATGTGCTTATTTTTTATCAGATAATTTTGTATGTATTCGTTCATTAAAGTCAGCAATATCGATAGAATAACTGAATAAATCATATTCATAAATAACGTTTAAATCGATGATAGTGCTTTTATATAAAAAGATTACATCTAAAGTAAAAAGTGATCCAATATTCAGTTGATGTGCTAACATGAATTACATTCGTAAATATCTTTGACAGAATAAAAATTTTGAGTAATAAAAAAGTGCCAAATCCTTTGTAAAAACATTTTATATTGCATGCATCGTAAAAAAAAATGAGAAATTACCTATCATCGATCGAACAAGTCAATCAATTCGTATAATTGCTAATTATAGCTGCAAGGTCGACAACTTTTCGAGCCAATAAATGCGTTTTTCATTTTTACGCGCATACAACAATACGAGAAAAAGAATGTCAAGGCCGAATATGTGGAAGAAAACTTGAATAAAAAAATATTTATCTGAACAACGAGAAAAAGATTGAAACGATTTAGATCAATCAATTCAGCATTTCTAAACGAACGCGAATATAATAGCAATATCGATAAAAAATGTATGTATATACCTACAGGTATGTACAGAAAAGTAAAGAGAGATAGAGAAATAGAGCGACAGTGAATAGAGCAGGGAAATTGGCGTATATAGAGTTTAGAGATCACAGCAGACGACAACGTACATAATGTAGACGTATTAAAAAACAGGTCAGAGATATATAGAGTGAGAGATATTGCATGCTCTATATAGGCGAAGAAAACACTAACAGTGTTGGGCTTGTCTCTCGAGATACATCGTATACGACACTTGGAAGACATCCAGCGCAGTGACAAAGACATCGGGCCATTAGCTTTTGCTCACGTTTCGTCATTCACTTTACTTTCCCCACTGCCTTTTACATCGATTGATATTATCAATTATAATAGAGAGAAAAGCTCTCCTCCAGCTCCCCGTGGGAATTGGCAGCCGTACGCGCGAAAACTTGATTATTTTCGGTAGAGGAATAGAGAGAGAGAGAGAGAGAGAGAGAGAGAGAGAGAGAGAGAGAGAGAGAGAGAGAGGATAAATTGAGATGAAAAGGAAGCGAAAAAAGCTCGACAAGCAAAGCGCGACCGACTGCCAATTTTTCACCAGACAGAGCATATTATACGATTACTCCGGCCATTTGTATTCGACGCGCGCGGTGGCTTTTTTTTTTTAACGATTGAGCGCGCGCGACGTTTTCGTTTTTTCCTAAGAATATCTAATATATAGTATAGTATATCTAATACATGTCCAAAACTGAAAGATTATGTCAAGCTCGAAAGGAGAAAAAAAGATGTCGTACACAAGCGCATGACATTCATAGCGAAAGCTTGTATTTAGATGTGTGTTATTAACCATAAGCGAGAAAGCAAAGTGAATGAGTATAATAAATAAGCGATTGATATAAGCTTAGCTTAGCGAAAATATTTACATTACGAATTATGGGTACATTAATGCGAAATGATTTTGATTTCATCACTTCCGAACAAATGCCTCGTAGTGTTGAATGTTTATATGCGCAGAATAGCTTGACGTTGAATATTAACATCGAATTGAAGCGACACGACGGTATTGTTATTTACGAAAAATGTAAGAGCAAACAAGCTAAACATTACCAGAGAGTGATTATTGAAATATAACGCGCTAGAAAAGATATGTGTGAATTGACGGAGTAATTTCGCAAGTAATTAAAAATGCGTATAATCGTGGAGGAGAGCGAGTAAGAAATTCAACATTGCAAGTTGAAAAGGTCAAAAAGCTATTTCATAGAGCTGTACGGTTGCAGCAAGCTCAAGCTGTAAAGCAAGAGGAATGAAATCTAATTCTCGCAGATTATTCGACATTGCGTTTCACAAGCCCTGTTTGAGTATGCGATAAAAAGGATAAAAGCCAGCGTAAAAACAACTGAGTACTGCCGTGAACGAAAGAATGAAGGAAACGTAAGCTTTCGAATAGCCATACTTGTTCGTAATCAAAATCATTCGCTATTAATGTACGACGTGGCCGCATCGAAAGAAAATTAAAAAACGCTAGCTCGGTGATCGAACGAAAGAGAATGACTTGGGCAGCGCATAACAAACCGAGTATCTCGAAAAGTCAACAATCTGCATAGAGATATGAACGCGGCGAGTTTCATTGAGTTGCGATCAGCAGACAGTGCATCACTGCAAATCCTAGTTTGCACTCAGCGACCTCGAAAAAGCCCGCACTGCGTATTAAACGTGTACACGCACACGAGACACGCGTGCGCTCGCGGTGGCACTTTTCGCGCTTCGACGTCCAAACACCTTCGTCGACTCTGCGATCCTTTGCGAATATTGAATATTGAATAGCGATCGTGCTGTGTTTAATATACAAAGAGAGAAATATAGCCGCGAGCGCATCTCGTGTCAAACAGCTCGCGGTGAAAGTGCAGCCCATCCGAATGAAATACCGGTTCACTAGTCTCGAGATATCGCCTGTGCTTCGGAGGCCTTTCCGCACACTTGCTAATTCGCCAACTTTTGCGCGACTGCCAAGTGCGCTCATTATAGTTTGCTTAATGAGCGCCTCTTATGTTAGGCACACAGTAAAACTCCAGATATAAGATTGACTTTAACGTGTACGAGTATGTGCAGCTTGGAAAAGAAAGATTTTAATTGGACGTAACACGTAACAACATCAGTCTCACGTTATAAACAAACACACGAGGTCGTCGTGATTTTTCCAAATCTCAAGAGACTATACAGTATTTCAGTCGGGGTGCCCCTCTTTAGGTCGCAAATTTATGCAGAAAATCCCAACACTGCCGCTCTAACGTTACACAGTATATAGATACATTTTTAATATACAGAATATATATAAATATTGATATATGTGAAGTATATATACATAAATATGCATAGTAAATTTTGTTCTCTGCAATGAGCTTACTAAATGCGTGATCGAACGGAGTACTCGTCGGAGAGTAACCTGCAACAACGAAATAACAAACAGCGGTGTCACTGTCCCCGTTTATCCCTCTTATCTTTCATTTTCTTTCTTCTTATTTCATCATCAACCAATGCAATTATACTTACTGCTAGTCATCTATATGTATATTATTACGTCTATAACGTCATACTCGCGTTCGTACTCGTCGCCGTTCAAATATATGACACGTATCGACGATAGGTATCGCACCGTTGCACACCGCAACAGCTCAGCCTATTCGATGTTATTTGTTTGCCCAGGCTATCAATTTATTTCTGTTATGTTGCAGTTAATCGTCTTTTCCTTTTTTCAAAAAATCGCTTCGATCGCTCAAAATGTCGCTCGACATCGCTTGTGCAGCGCTTACTTTTATTGCTCGGGGTCGGGCCAGAAAAGAAAAGCATCGGTGCGACGCTAAATGTTTTATCAAGTTTCCTAACGTCTTATTTAACGAGATTGAACACCACTGCCGCTGAGGCTCGCATGGAGCCTGTGACTACACCGCATTGCCGATTCTTCTTCTACTTGTGAAATTTCTTTTAAATGTCGCGAGGGCAAATGGCAATTTATGGATTTTCGCAAGTGTCAACTCGATTTCGATTTGTTTATCAGTCCAAATGAAAAACAAACAGCGATTGGAAATATCGCGCGTTGAATGCATAGAAAATAACCGAGAGATTGTTGTGCTGCGGGTAAAGTCAACACGAATCTTGATTGAAAAAGAAATGAAATTAAAAAGAAATGGTACCCAAGCGCGTTCAAAAAAATCATATCTTCCGAACAATCTCCGTAAACATGCAGACACACACACATGAAAATCTATCGCGATCACACGACAGACGAAATAGAAAAAAAGTACAGTCGGTCAGTACGTAATTCACATCGTGAAAATCTAATAAAGTATCATCGCAAGGCGATAAGCGAGCAATCAGTGATGGGGCAATAAAAGAAGTAGCGAAGCCAGAGTGTCCCGAAGGCGCCATACTTTTCCCGTGTCGCGCGTACGTCAGGGACGAGATCGACCTCAATTTCCCGGCTGCACGTGCGACCCTTAATCACTGTAATCCACTCAGTCAACGCCACCACCACCACCGCTATATAGGCGCCGGCTAGGAGTGCGTCGCGTTTCCCTCTTAAGACGCCAACGATTCAAGAGGCACCATACGATTCTCTCGTTCTGTGTTGCACTTTTAAATATATTACGTACTGCCATTGTTATTTGCTCGCTTGATCGATTAATTCATATTTAATGGGCTTCCTCTTCAAAGAAAATATCTTTTTACGTGATATTCTGTTGCTTCATATCTTGTTACAAGATACGTATTATATCCTTCTGCACACGTTACACGGTTAATTTATATGCAAACATACTTAGTCTGACATTGATAATTCGATTTTTTCTCAGCTTAAGCTAAAGCTTCGCGATTTCACGTGATGGAAACGTCAAAGGGTTCAAATTCGAGTTAAAGACGGCTGTCTACTTACTGTCTACATATATTTTTTATTTTAATGCAAAACTGATTGACAGCATTTCCATCAGATCAACGATGTATTCCTTGAATTGCAGCTAAATAGTAATTTAATATTTGTGAACGTAGTACAATATGAAACGAAATTTTTAAATTTCAGCCATTAACCATTAAAACTGTAAATTTATTGACCTACGTTTCTTCGTCAATTTAAGTTGTCAAGTTTCCATTATAATCCGAGCTAAAATGACTTTTATTATTACAAAATATACATTTCAATTTATTTTTACGAGATTTCAACTGTAGAAAAATCAATGAAACTGTCAAGTCAAAATAAATAATTAACTATTAGATTTCTCAAAGATTGAGGTGCGTTTTCGATTGCTATTCGATAAGTTTTTCCAGCGGTCACTCTATTATAAAAAGCTCGTGATTTCCGGTCACGTCGCAGTATACCTGTTGAAGATTCTCACGTGAGACTTGTTACAAATTCACGAAAACTTTAGGTATCTCGACAAGTCATTTTATAAACACTTTCAAGTAACTTCTTGCATAAAGATTTATTTGAAAACTTTGGCTTGCGGATTTTTTATTTATTTTTGTACATCGTGAAAAAAAGTTTTGATTAACTCCTATTTCCTGTGTATTGTTTCTGTGTTTTTGATGATAACTAAAGTGTTTGTATTGGCATATAGTGGTTAATTGTGTGTAAACATAGAGGATAATTTTTGCAGTAACCCAAGTATTACAAACTTGTAATATGCAGCGTCACTCAATAAGCTCTTATGCATTATTCATAAACAAGGAAAGGAAAATTTAGTACAAGTCAAGAAGCTCACCTTTCCGAGCAATACTACAGTTTTCATGATATCTGAACTAATATGCTGAACTCAACATTTTTACTTGGAAATAGCATGAAAAGTTTAAGTTCGATAGTGTATTGCAATTATTTACAGAGCTGTACTTTCATGATTTTGAGAATGATAATCAAGAACGACATACATTGAATACCAGGTAAAGCAAAATACTTTAACATTATGAAATAATCGAAGGTGTATGTATTACAAATAAAATTTGAAAAAAAGTACTATGCTTATATATATATAGTTGGATAGTCACAGAGAAACACATTTGAAATATAAAGTCGACGGTGTTATGTGGACAAAAAGCAAATGATTCCGCATGTAGAGCATATATATTACAGTGTCCTAACTACTCGGAATTTCCTCCTTAACTACTGTAATTTGATGCTACCGGGCTGCCATTCAAATCGTGTGGCTTCGACTAGTCGAGTTTTATAAGGATATTACGCACTCGGGGCTGTTTGGTGCTTTTATTGACCATGCGCATATATTGCCGCCAAATTCCACGCTAAGTCTAGCCTTTTGTTACCACAAACACGGTTTTCCATACTTAACCTTACGAAAAGATGAATGAAAGCTATTGCAACTAAAATCAATGTATTTATATAATTAGAATCCATGGCTTATTAATATTTATTTCAAATCTCGTGGTTAACAAACGGTATAGATTTATTAAAATCGTCAAAAAATGCTGGGCCAGTCTAGTTCCCTTGGTCAGATCGAAGACAGTTTTTACTACTTAAAACAACAATAATGTTGATTTCACCTTCCGTGCGTCTACAATTCGGTTTCGTAAGCTTGACGCGGTCCTCAATTAAATGCTGCGACGAACGATCGATTTGGTAGCGTATGTTTACCACCAGTGCAGTGGAATTGTTCGTACATTCTAATCAAGAAAAGCACCAAACGTCAAAAACACTTTTAAAAAATCCCACAGCAAGTCAGTTACAAAAGACGCAACTAATAAAATATTGAAACGGTCTGTCCTGATAATCATGATAATTCGAGAAGTATCATGATAAGTAGAAAAGAGGAATAAAAAAAAAAGAAAAAAAATGTGAACGAATAAGCAGATTAGATTACGCGTGATGATAATAATAATAACAGCAAATGGTGAACTTACTCTGGATACTTGACGTTGGGTAGAGCCTTGAGAAAGCACCGCTGTCTCAGTATGCCCTCCCAGAGCTGAACGCCAACGATGCCGAAGATGAAGAAGACGAAGAAGCACAGTAGCAACACGTTGCCCAACATCGGGAGCGTGTCGAGTAGCAACATCACGAGTATCCTCATACCTAGCGGACAAAACGTCAGGCCATCAATAAAAAAACAACACTCTATCGACAATAGTGTCAATCAAAGCTTAAGTGCAACGACAAGAATCGGGTAATTGCGCGGCCTCCCGGCATCCGCAAATGTCAGGGCCGTGTCGCGGTCTCCTTTCTCCGTCAGAGAACGATGCGCCGCATACGAGATGAAAACGTGATAACAAGCTTCTACCGTTGCAAATCGTCCCGTTTGTTTGCTCGTTAAACTACCTAATCCAACCGTTTGTTTTATTACCTCGATGATCTCTATTTGACAAAAAAATATTGAGAGATTCATCTGTAAATAGCGCTAGAATTAGCTGCAAATGTTTTTCTCGTTTCTGCATTTTAATCGTCGATCTATACCCGAGGAGAGAAAAAATTGTCATATAGGCCGCGAGTCTTTGAAAATGGAACGTGCACACGCATTAACGATGCCATTACGCGGGAATGTGAATTTCAACGAGGAATTGTAAAGCTACGCGAGAGCTGGAGCACGTGCACGGCGCGGATCGACTGGAATAATGACTATGCAACACGCGAGAACGTATTTGTTGGTGTGCGTCCGTGCGCGCGCGCGCGCGCGCGCCCGCGTTATGTGCGTGCAATAAAAATCAATGATTTCACTCACTCGGTATCCTGTTGATTGCCCGTAGCGGTCTTAGCACCCTTATCGTACGTATTGCTGATAAATTCATATTCTCGACGTTCAAGCAATATTCTAAAGCTCTGCAAAAATATAATGATAAAATAACATGTTCATCGGCGATGGAATTGCTTCGGTGGATTTTTCGGGAATGATTGCATTTGGCTTGGAAGAATGAGATGTCTTTTCTCTTTCAAATTGCGTCGAGAGACTTGCGTTTTGGGCATAATTATAAAAAAATTATAAGAAAAACCATTTGGTAATGACACGAAGGCAAATGCTCCGCCTGCTCTTCCACTTGAAAATTCCACCCAACGAAAATAAATGTTTAAACGGCCGTAATCGATTGACTCGGTTGTAGGCTTAAAACGGGCCAACCGTTTGACCGACAACAAAGCCTTACGATTACTCATGCAAATAAGCGAGGAGGCAGAGAGGATATGCGCTCGTGCGATGACGATCCCGCATCATGTGTCTGGCTCATCAGCGGCCAGCACGACGGTCCTTGCTGCAAGTCAAATTGCATACACGTGTGATCCGTCTCAGCATGCTTGTGCTGCTTTGCCACGAACATACAGCGTATGTGCGCGCTAATGGCCAGTGCAATTTTCAGCCAGTTAGTCGGCCGTCACATGACTATGTCGACACCACTCACTCTGCTTGGCTCGTGATATATGAATTAAATGCTCGCGGTTATGAATCTGTGGTATAAGCCGACACAGCGTGCGACCGGCTTGGGCATTATTCTCGCCGTTCATTCTCGACAAGCCAATTGCAACCAACAGGGCTGTTTTAGGATGCCATCCGACAAACGACGAATCATAGCGAAAAAGAAAAAGAAAAAGAAAATTAACTAATGCGCGCGCATTCCTTTATAATACTAATGTAATTTTGATGGGCGAGCAATGATTACGATGGATGCACCACAAGCAGACTCCCGCAGCCCAAGGCAATTTACCACTGAAATGTGACGTCGGGAAAATGTGCATACTCCCGAGATTCTATCTGTTAATTAAATTCAGTAATTGCTGCATCAAAAGCAGCGCGCTATCTGAAATCCAGCGTGTACTATACCCTGGTAAAAAGAATTGTCTAGTTGTGGGGTAAAAAGAAGGAGCGCGATACTAAAGAAAATCCAAGCCCGTTTTTCTTTAATCAATATAAAAATGAAACTAACAGCCATCGCAATAATTCGTCTAGAGAAACTCGCGCGCAAGCTCTCGTATCGTAAGTATACTTTATCAAGCTAGTTGAGAGATATCAATTTAAAAGGAAGTATATCACGAGATATAACCTATACCTAAAATGACAGGCGTTTAGGCGAGACGCCAGCCAATATCAAGTAAATATTGGCTTGCCTACGCACACCAAACTAACCGACGAAAAATAAAGGAAAATTTAGAATGAATAAGCGCGACGCGAGCCAACACAATAACTCTCAGCGTCGCTTGATATTTGATTGCTACAAACATTTACCGATGGAGCGAATGTGCTAATGCCACGGGTTGCTACCAACATATCGATTATTTTCTTTTTTTCGTCTGGGGGCATCACGGATTGATTCAGCAAAAAAAAAACCGAGTACTTACCCTGCAAGCACTATGAAGAAGTCCAACCTATTCCAGGAATCGGCGAGGTAGGTTCCTTTACCGTAAACACCCATGGCCACCATTTTTATCGTCATTTCCAACGAGAAAAATGCAAAGATGATGTCGTCGAACATCTGTAATGAAACCAAATTTATACTTAAAATGAATGTCTTTAGCGCGCACCTCTTGCTTGAACACCTGAGTATACTTGTAATAAAAATGAAGCAACCCTTCAATTATGGTTTGATTGATCGTGTTATTTGTTTGTCATAAAGTGTGTCGCTTTTATTACAATAGTGAAATTTAGAAGAGACACAGTGCCTGAAAATTATATTAAGTCAAATGATACGTCAGCGATCAATTGTTACGAGGTTGTACGAAAACAGTTTTAGCATTAATAAAACTTGCGCAGATACGTGGTTTGACTGATATCACGTGACATTTCGTAGCATCATTGTAAAGTTGTTTGTATAAACGTAAAATTATTTAAGGAGCGCTATTTTTTCATAAAAAGTATCGTCTTCTCGCGAAAAACTAGCAACTAGCACGGGTACATTCGCCGATCAAGACAATCTGCTTTTTTGCGCCTCTCTTTCTTTCATCTCTTTCTGCGTGGTGCAGTTTCTTAGGCCGTCAGACGTGGTCGAGGCGAAAAACCGCTAAAAGCGGGCATCGTAAAGTGAGCCAGTGGCGCGTGAGCCCTCTCTGTCTTGTTCACGCGTGAGCTTCACGGCAAAAAATGGTAAAATTTAAATATAAAGCTGCTACACGCGAGCTTAAGCCGTTATAAGCCACGCTGACCAAAAATAATTCTATCGTAAACTAAGAATCGACTTGCGCTCATTCTCCGAGTACGTATGTATTTGTTTTTAATTAAAAATCACAACTATTTTTTCTCTTTCCAAGAGCCTACATTAAACTAGTAAAACTCTGCTTCTATTTTGTTTTCTGCCAATATCTGCTATTTTAGTTGCTGATGATGCGCGCACAGCTGGATTACGTCAAAGTTCAAGTGTCAATAAATTAACAAGCAAAGTTCATAGGTTTCCTAGTCCAAAGTAATCATTTCCCTCTATAAGTTTTCACAGTTGTAAAAATATATACGTTCCATCAATCGACGATTCTTAATGTTATTCCTGATATATTCGCATAATTTTTCATGTGACGATTTTTTTTATGTTAACTAAAATAAAAAGTATATTCAATTGTTCTCGTGTAATGAAGTAGCAACAACTCGGTGGTCCAGAGATTCCAGTGTAAACTTCTCATTTCGCGAGTGCTAATTATAGAGCCTTATTAGGGTCATGGAAGAAAAACAATGGGCACTCGCGGCCCGCGCGCCTAGTCTTTTTCTCTATCACGGTCGTACAATGTACTTCATCGGCATCTTCATGAGAAAAACGAAATGCACCAAAAGAAATTGTTATTGAATCAAAGATCGAGGCTGTTTGTTTCATACGAGACACTTATCAAAATCCAATATTCCATTCGGTATTTGTAATAAAAAAAACTTTTTCTTTATCTACTATCGAACGCAAAGCCTTTGTATTTCAATGTCAAAGTATCCGAGCAATATCGGTGGTAGGGATAAATACACAGACATATACAGCAGTTTATCATCGCCAGTCAGGAAACGCAAAGCCCGAGTTGACACTTTGGACAGTTTCCCTCGAAGCGGACAAATGAAAGTTCCGGTCTGTGTGTGTATGTGTATCAACATTTACAGACTGTGCACAGTAACGAATATTTTTCTTCGTTCGCAAGGTTCCACGAAACACACCAACTGCCGAGTTGTTTTAACAAAGACCTCGACAAAATTTACCTTAGTCAGCTCGATATCTGTCGAGTAGTCGCTGCTCCTCCTTCTGATTTTTTGTTCCCGCGCGCAAGTAGATTTGAAATTCACGGTAATGTAAAAGAGAGAAAGAGAGAAATGCAAATGTGGTTCATGGCCGATTTTTTAATGACAAAGGCAGAGAATCGCGCGGATTACCTTTCGCATTCTCTGCAGACTTGACAAAATGTCAAGTGCCCAGCGTCGTCGTCCCAAGTACACGTGTGTGCACGCAAGCTTTTTCAGATTTTTGGTCGAGATTGACAACGCCTTTCGCTCATATTTTTATATTTTGTGCTATTCGATATCGACATAAAAAATCTACATCTTTCCTGAATATTGATTTTCAAAAAAAAGCACCTCCAGCCGAAAGAACCAGATTGTGTTATATCAATACATTTGATGAATATTCAGGTTCGAAAGCTTAGTCAAGTTCACACTAGAAATACAGAGGCTTTGAAGCCCTTTGACATCATTGTTATTCCAACACATTAATAAAAGCGATCGATTTGTTCGCGTGATTTTAGTAGAATACTGAGAGGCTTGGGCGTGGAGCAAAGTATCACGAGCGAGAGCTAAAAATCAAAGTAAAAAACTGTTGGGTAAATGGTCTCTCGTCAAACAGCAAAGGAATCTACAGCTGACACGAAGCGTGAAATTCCTTTGCGAATTCGCTCGCGACGGAATATCAAGCATAAACGTATGTCTCCGCGCGCTTCTTATGCACGCGCGAGTTTGCCTTTGACGATGTCGCTCGTGAATTCTTTATTCGTTCGCAGCTCTGAATGGTTTGGTTTGTTTGCGTCTCCTCCATTGTGCGAGAAACGTGGGCACGGCCGGGTCTGGATATATTGTACAGATAAATCTTTCCTTTTTCCCTCGCTCTCCTAGGAGTACTTGCTGTAAACTTCAGAAATGATGGCTACGAAGATGTTCGCCTCCGTGAGCTTTATCGATGCAGCTTTCGCGTAAGCAGCTCTTGTTTTGAGGATCAGTCGTTTTTTTCCACTCTAGCATAGCCGTCTCCTGCTATTTATTCGTCGTTTGATCGAAGGAAGGCGAACATATTTTTTTTGGAACGCCAAACTGTACGGATGTATAAAGATAGACGTAAAGCTAACAAGTTTGACCTAAGTCGATATTTATACGAGCTCTCACAGCCCTGTTTTTACTTTTGTGACATACAAACACTTGATCGTCGCAGTCGAGCTCTTACGTCCATACATTCGATTTGCGCGCTTGAAGCTTTTTACTGTAATACAATTTTTATTATTTAGAAATGGCATCGTGACTGTAATGTGTCAAGTAAAAAGTATTCCCTTTGCTTTGTCCAAAATATACTAGTTCCAAAATGAACAGTGAAATGAAACTGTATATATGGATATTGTATTACTTTATTTTGAAAATTTTAGTCGAAAACGGTGATGGAGAAAATGAAAGAAAACGTGAGGATTGGCTCAATAACAATGAAAAAATTAAAGCATTCTCACCTGTAATATCTTGCAGCGGTTTGTAACGCACTGGTCGTCGACGCAAGGCTGGTACATTCCCAAAGTAAAGCAGTTCAGTAGAATCACCATGATGCTGACCCTTTCGAACCACGTGAATAAAGATCTTGCTGAGTTAAGGACAATTGGCAAACAAAGCATCAATTATTTTCCACTACAGAATACACACATCACACCTCTATCTGTCGGATCGTTATCTTTCATCGTGCGACCGCGACAGAATAAAACGCGCGCACACCTATATAGAAAAGAGGATACGCGCGACATACGCCGGCGATCGATCTACAGAAGCTAAAGCAACGAGAAAGAGCTCGCTGCTGCTGCTGCTGCTAGCAATCAATATTAGACAGTTGCCAAGTGACAGTGACCCAGATTATCAAGTTTGCATTGTGCATAGTGCGTACGCATACTTTTTTCTGTTCCATTGCATATTTCAGCGACGAGGCTGCCATTATATTTACCAATTGTATAAGTCAATAGAGTTTGCGCGCGAGCAAGCGCGTTAAATTTTACGACTTGCTCATTACGGATGAACTTTTTTCAATGTTTTATCGGTGTATAATTGAATGTTGCCTTACTCATTCGCAACGAGTTAATTCGAATTTTACGCGACGTCACGACCACTTCGACTCGATGGCTTGGATTACTTATTCATGACTCGACAGCTTTTACGTCTCTTACTGGTTCCTAGACTAGCGCGTCTCGTTCCCACGGATTTTATAACCTTCGTGGGTAGACTTGTAATTGCTGTCGTTGTTTTTTATGAGGGGGAGAGGGCGAGAAAGACCATGATTTATGAAAGTATGTCACGTTAAAAAACTATCTATTTTATAATTCATTTTCGTCTGCAAATCGATACATTTATTTTTACGTTGTGCTTGTGTGTGGAAAATGAAAACGACTAACGGGCTATGAAAAATATATCGTGTCTCCGACATATAAGAAATATAACCGTGGAAATTCACGGCTAAACTAAACAGTTAAACCTTTCATTATAGTACTTCGGCTGACCGAAAGAAAGCAAAATATATACGCATATCTGCAAATCGAGTCAAACATCATATTACTAGCAAAATTCTTCCAGCTATAATATATCCAATGTATTTCAATTACTGTCAGATGCAAATGAAAGAAAAATCTAGACTGCGGGATCACTGTTCTCTCCGCGTGTGTATTCCTAGTGAGTCATGAGAGGTAATCCATCATATATCTCGAAGCTAATCCATTTGAACACGTCGGAAATATGAAAATCAAGAATGTTTCAGGTGGACTTGTTCTGTCCCCTTCACTCCCTATTTCACCCTCTTTTGAAAACCATGCGCTTAAAGATTAGATAACCAAGAAGCTAAAAGGCAATCACGCGAATGAGATTTTTGGCGAGCGAACGCGCGCCCAAGTTGGATAAATCACACGGACGAGCTATCTCGTGCAACATTGATCAGTGAGCGAGCGAACATCCGCAATGTATGTTCCATTCACGCGTTAATCGGGAAAAGCATTCCCTTGACTTGTAAGCCCCTTTGCAGTCGTAATTATTTTCCCTCAATACGTTCTTATAATTCAGCTTTAACCGCTAGCTGCAATAATTCCTTTTATTTGATCATGTTGATTTCTATGAAAAACTATCTCGTCTGACATAATCAAAATCACTACTACTTAATGCAAAAACAGACATTTGCATTCGATTGAAAAAAAACTATCTTTGTAATTAGAATTTACATTCTCTATATGCTATCTACAATTTATGAATGGTCCAACATTCATGAATAAAAAGTGATTTGCTTTCGGATGCTTAGTCATACGACCTAGTTAATAGTACTACGATTTTTGTAAATCATTCATATTACGATTCGTAGAAATTTATGTGTGAAATATATTAAAACACGCGTCCATTTCTGATAGATTAGCTAGATTTGTTACACGCAAAAACTAGATAATCAAGCACTGAATCATGAAATAGCTGTGCGCTTTATAAACACTTCAGAATCCCTCTGCAATGTGTACAGCATAAATTCTTATTAACGATGCATTCGTGTGATTTTTGATTAATAGTAATTCATATTATTCTGCAAAAAAATCTTAAGACATATACGAATCAGAGTTGTGTGCGCAAGAGTTACAGTAAAAGTCGTGCTTGTCCCACGGGAAAAGCTCGTCGAGGTGAAAGCCATTAACACGACGAAAAAGGCTAAAATGTCATTCCACGTCACTAGCCTTTGGCAGCAGCCCTAGTTTGCAGTACTCCCTCCTTACTCTGTGTATATGTGTATGCGCGTGGATACGCGCGTGAGATCTCGCTATCGCCCTCGGCACGCTTGTCTTATTCATTATGCTCTTTTTTTGCTAGTCGTATCGCCGCACACAGCAATATATTTCTTTCAGTTATATGGATTCTTGTCCACGTAAGCGCTATTTTAAATGCGGTTTACGTGCGCAATCGTTTGCCGATGAGTACCTATATATATATATACCCCTTTTTCTCTGCGTAGCACCCTAACAGCGCTATTATTGCTTTAATTCCGTGGAATCGTGCTACTTTGTGCTCCATTGTTTCGTCTCTGTCTCTCTCACTGCCTCATTATGTTACGCACCGCGATTTTCATACCTGCGCTGATTTCGGTTTCACCAATTCATGGCATGGGTTATGAATCTGGTTTTGTTCAATTCCAAATAATGTAATTGGCCATAACTGTTCCTTAATATATAATATTCAAATTTGAATACACTTCAAACTTCCATTCCATTGGGATATCAAATTGAAGCGAATTTTTCATCTGAAATTGAAAAGGTATTTTCATTGAAATTTAATTGTTTTTGTAAAAAATGATTGAGGAGTACTACTATTAAAAAATTTTCGTTAATCTCTTGGTAATACTAAACAAACTTCATTTAGAAGCTAAAGTTAAAGATAATATCATTCAAATTACTGTATTTTTTAAACAAAAAATACAGAGTTGCCGTATTGTTCAGTTAGTTTTAAGCTAAAGAAGTTTTAGATATGGCACTGCTGTTATTGTTAGGTCATCTATAAAGAAAACTTGTTTTTTTGAAGATGTAAAACGACCATGAATGTAAATTTTTTTCACTTTAAATCTGATTATGCGTTGCGAAACATTGTAAAGTATGATTTTATTAAAAAACTTGGAAAGCGAAAAGTTCATTTTAAAACTGCTTTAGACGCGAACATAAACAATACAAAGGAGTAAAAGTATATTATAGCTTAGGTCTTGCGCCTGAAAGAAAGAAAAAAAATCTCGATGAGTGTCTCTCGACCTTCGATTTTTAATGATTGGAGCGAAAAGGTCTTGTGTTATCAAAAGCCTTGAGATCTTATCTTCATGGCTAGGATGATCGATATTTTAGTCGTGTTTTTGTTCCATTCAAACCAATAACATTAAAATAAGATTTTTGTTAGGCTGATTCTGTTAGGACGATTTCCTCGAACATAATAACAATGCCCAAGATTGTTTTTCAAGATTATCTCACATAAGCATTTCCAAACAAGTTCATAGAAGAAAGCTATAAAGCATAGAGAAGAGAAGTCTACGCGACCCAAGGAAGAAGAAAAAAAATTAATGACGTCGTAACAGAGTAACTTTTCTCGAGTAGCTGCAGCAACCGCCTCTGTTCCTTGCGACGCACGGTGTACAACGAGTAAGCTCTCATTTTCTACTATAAATTTCATAAGCCAAAACTAAAACGTTCAATTAGCAAAGCTTGTTCTCGTGGCGTTCCAACATTCTAAATTTATCTCTCGCGCATCGTCGCGCATAAATTACGACATATCAAAACAACAGAGCCATTGTTAAACTAATAATTACAATAGGGACTTCAGATGCGCTTAGAGAAAGATAAGAAGGGAAGGAAATATTGGGTCTTGTTGCGGGGGACCAATCAGCAACGAGAAAGGAGTCGTGATGCCGAACTTATGAGTCCGCTCGAATTTCCGGCTACCTGCGCCCGGTCGGCAGCGTCACCTTTTGTTATGACGTATTGGCGACGTGCCCAGGAAACAAACAGCTTAAATCCATATGTTTGGATTCAAGCAAAATAGTTATATTGTCGCGTACTCTCTCTCTCTCTCTCTCTCTCTCTCTCTCTCTCTCTCTCTCATTCAAATTCTTCGATGCACACGTGAAGTGCAAACAGGGTTTTTATTGTTTTCAAACGCACATTTTCATCTGTTTCTACTTTGCGTTTATTCGAATTCTTTTTTTTCCTTTTTCTCTATTTTCAAATATTCTCACGGTTTTTATTCTATTTCTGTCGTATGTGCGATTATTTTACATATACTACAACAATGCGGAAAATGCCAATTATATTCCTTAGTAATCGTTGCAAACAGAACGTACGGAAATACGAGACTATTGTGAGAGCTCATATATTGATTTTAATTATTGGCAATGTATTTTTTCCATTCGGTTATTACAACGTACCATGAAAATTACCAAGAAACAAAAAAAAAGACAGTTCAGGGTTTTTTAGTTTCTTTTATGCAGTGTACCAAGTGACTATTCATTTCAAAGAGCTTCAAATTGCATTCGAGAGAGTGCAGGGAAAATTAATTCAAGATGATTTTTATTAAATATTTATTATTAGAGAAAACAGGTCGTTTGAAAACTGACATCGTGACCTCACGAATAACGGAATTTTCTAATTCCGTTCTTCCTTTTAAATGTACATGTTTTTCTCTATCAATTTTCAAAAAAATTGTATGTTTTTTTCCGTTTTATTTTGAAACTCTACAAATTTTTACTTTAATGATCCAGAAAATGCGCAAAGAAACATTAATCTGTCAAGACTGAAGTTAAAGAGATGAAAATCCAATATAGTAGTAGAAAGTTTGAGCAAATTAATTTTTTTCAGCGACACACAACGTTTACGCGTAGACTGGATGCACAGAGTAGAGACATCGCGCGCAGCGCGTCCGAATCGATCCACCAAGTGAGAGAGTCGAAAGGGACAGAGAGATGCGGGTCGTGCAGAAACAGCAGTAGTAGCAGCCCAACGCAGGTGGAGGACTATGTAAGCGAAGCCGGGAAAGTCGGGCAGAGAAGAGAGAGCGGGAGGGTGGGGGGGGGGAGAAAGGGCATAGGATGCAAGGCTCGCGCGCACACGGGGAATATCGTGCGGAAAACAGATGCGATTCGCGAAAGCACCGCCTTCATAATGTTTCGTACGGTTTACTTTTTTTCCAATGTCGACTTCAATTTTTCTTGCGTCTAATTTCTTTCGTGTTGTTTTGCTTTTTATATATA